CCCTGGTTTTAGTGAATTTAGTGAGAATTTGGGAAGAAGCTTGTTTTTTTTTTATTATTATTATTATTTGTTAGGCAGACTTGTGAAAACATTATTGCAGTGATCAATGCAACTAAAGACAAAGGCATGGGTCTGGATCTAGTTTGCAAATTATTCCTTTAATTATTGAAAAGTTCTCCGGGTGGTAGACTGATTTTGCAATTGTCTTTATGTGTCTCCAAATGGTTCAGGTTTGAGTCCATCAGAACACCCAGATTTCAGTGGTTTCTAGCCAAATTGATTGTTCAAAGAAAATAACTCCAGTTTAACTCCAGTTGAAGAAATTTACGGCACATCCATGCCCGTAAATTTGTTCTGAGCGTCTTCTCTGTGCTTGAATGGGTCTGTGGTCACCTGACATTGACATTGTAACGTAAAAGCTGTGCATCATCTGCGTATGTATGGCAACTAATCTCATTACTTGCCATAATCTGTCCTGGGTGAACTAGCTTAAATTATAACCAGCCTCTCAGGTTTATGTGATGTTATATAATCTGATCTGGTAAGGGAAAGGTATTTCACATGCTTTGAGAATAAATTGGGAAAATGTGAAGGAGTCCTTAGTGGTGTTACAGAAAGTATAAATGTTATTTGTGAAAAAGTATCATGAATCCATCCCTTTTTCTTCCAACATCACAGGCTGTTGTGACATTTTAAAGTAGTTGTGATCAATAGCTCTTCTTCCTTTCTGAAAATCTTTCATAGATTTTGTTGCTTTGTTCCAATCTTTGACCACTTTTAGACGTTTTTGTTTGTGAAGCCTCTTAAACTCTTATTAATAGTTATTCATAAGTAATTAGTAGTTACTTATGGATAGGGTAGGTAATTATTCATTACTTAGCTATTTAGTATTGAATAGTTACTGAATTATTGAGCTTATGCATATCAGACAACCTGGCAAAGAACCAACTGTAAATTGAAACTTTTGACCTCCTTGTTTTACTAGCAGCATGCCTCTAACACCTTTTGTTCCTGTTTTCTTTTTTAAAGCTAAATCAGGAGGAAAACAAGTCTGAGAGACAAAAAAAAAAGCATTTTGGCATCAGAATGGTAGTTCCCGAAATGTGAAATGTTTCGTCTGAATCTGGTCACAAAGTAGAACTGAAGGGTGTTTCTCTGATTCTGTGTCAAGTCTGTGCTGGATTTCCTCTTTTCTTAAAATGGGACTTTTAGATGCAATTTCTGTGATGATTAAATAAGACTAAGACCTTCAGGAACCCTGGAAAACTACTGACTGACGGTTAGAGTTTAGTAATTTTAGCTGTAGCAGCATAAAAAGAGCATCTCCTTCAAAGTACCTGAGACAACAAATTTGTGCCTCAAATTTTGATTTTATGCAGACAATTTGTAAATGCTTTGGTAGCGTCACAGAATTCAAAAGGTGCAGGTGAAGCTGGAGGGATATAAAATCCCCTGAGTGAAAATGAGAGAGCTTGTGATGTGCTCTGCTATGGTTTTAGCCCCATAAAACCATTAGTGTTGAGACTCTAACTGCATGTTGGGGTTCTTGGCAAAACTCAGGTGTCTGAGATGATAAAAAAAGAAGCAGTTGAAAAAGGTAATCATTTGAAGTCGTGTCCAATTTAAGCACTAAATCCTACTTTCATCACAGCAGTCTCCAAAATATCAAACCTCTTAAGCAAAATTCTTTAAAATGGGATTTAGTTTTAAATCAGGCACAACTGATGAAACCGACCATTCATTATCTGCATGAGGCAGAAACGCATAAAATACCTGAGTTTATGGTGTTGACAGTGAAATAGCCTGATTCAAACATGAATCTCTCAGCTAGCTGTCCTCCATGTCAGCTGTGTTTGCTGGTGGGCTTGAGGATGTGAAGGTGGCCGCTGCTTCATGGGAGACGCAAGTCATCCAGTGTTTCCACCGCCCAATTCAACACACCCACCTTTCATTTTTCAGTGGTCTGGTATTCAGACAGCTGTAGGTTCAGAGCTAAAGACAGAAGCTAGTTGAGTGGGTTAGTGGGTTAAAGTAAAACTCAAGTCATTACTCCCAGGGTGCTGCTGTTGACCGATGAGTACTGATAAAGTGAAATGATTAAGGGCTTAACTTTAATCTGTTTTTTTTTATTAGAGTGAAAGGGACTAAATATTCTCTAAAAATAAACTTCAGAGGTTCTTTTTATTATTATTATCATTACAGAAAAAGACAACAAGTTTCATTTATACTTTTTGTGAATTATATCTAAATTATGCTAAATTATGCTTCTTATATCATGGAGGACTCGGCCGTCTCGTCCTCTTCCGCATGCTGAATGGGTGGGGTGCAGGCCAAGTAGGTAAACACAATCTCTGCCGCTTTGCATTCAGGAAGTGGAACATTTTCGCAGTCATCCTCTGGTTCTTTCAGAATGACTGCGAGCTATTCATTATCTTAGTGTTGTGTGATTCCCCTCTGCCTGCCGTCTGACCCAGGGCTGGTTTGTGGTAAGCACGGCCACCTCACTTGCCCCGCTGTCTCCAAATCAACCACTGAAACCCAGGGACTTTTTCAGCCGCTTTGTTTTGCTCCGCACCGTTCCAACCCAGTGACCACAGCAGCTTTACACTGCGTCCGATCCTTGGGTTCGTGCACCTTTGCGCTTTTCTGACTGGGGATTCGTGAAGGTGAGATGTGTTGTGGTGTGTAAGAAAATAAAGATAAGTGCTCTCACACAATTTACCTATTTTTAAGACAAGCAGTTTCAAGTGTCATGAGGAAATAGAAGTGTGAAAAAATATATACAAGTACAATAATATTAAGAGTAGTGGCTGTTAGTCACATCTGTTTTTTTTTGTTTTCCCATTTAGGACCTATGCAACTTTAAAAGTACAGAAATCACCTCATAAATGATCTTTCTGACTGGAACTTGTGTTCAAATGTTTCTAATAATGTTTTATATTTATGTTGATTTTGGATTCATTCTGAAATAAATCCAGGAGAAAGGTCGAGCTTTATAAAAACTGGGAGCTAAATTCTGATTGGAGCTGTGACAATAAATGAAAGTATCATTGAATATGTTATTTCGGCACTTCAATTCAATATATTTATTTTACACTTGCAGTGCAAATGTATTTGTAACTCTAGCAGATTTAAATAGACCAAATTTTTTTCTACAATGAAACAGAAAACAAGACTAAGTAAATTTTCTTTTCATTTTTAACTTTTTTTTTTACCCCCATTTTTTACATACATTTTATTTTTATTTTTTTAAATTATTTAAAAAATTTAAATTTTCTCTTCATTCAAGGGGAAAATCTTCATTATCATTTCAGCAATCCAACTCATACTAATTGATGAGCTTTTCTTTGTTCTTATGTTGCTTGTTGGTAATGAGCTCCAACTCTTCTGGGAAACCTCTTAGCCATCACACTAATCTTCAGCTCCATCAACAGATTCCAGGATGGACTCTGGCTGGGTTCCTCCAAAAACAATGAAGTGACTCCCAGTCAGAAGAAACTTGAAAATCACCCAGTGGTGTGAATAATTGTGGGGCTTACCTGTAAATGCATCACACAGACAGTGGTGTATGCATTTCAAGAAATTCACATTTTTGGTTTCTCAAAAAACTGTTAAAGCCAATAGGAAAAAAGCAGAAGTGTTATGTTTTGGTGAGCACTTCTAACTTGATGGTTGTTCTGCAGAAGGTCATTAATATCCTACACAATTAGTGTAAGACCAAAAAAAATGTTTACTACTAAAGTTGCTGGCTTTTCAAGGAGCTTCATCTGCACAGATCAATGGAAAGTTAATTAAGTGAAAGAAAAAAGTCAGAGTAAGACTTGCACAGGAAGTTGGGATAACAGCAGCCTTTGATTACTTTTTTTAATGGTACTGTTTCATGTTTATTTTAAACTGTAAATGAATGAAATAAGTAAAATGAATGTGACGAACTAATTTTATAAAAAACTTATTTTTTTGTCAGTTGTGCAAGTTTAAGTAATCTAAGCTAACATATGTAAACAGTTATATTGTTTGTACTTTGTGTAGCAAACACAGTATGTATACTGTATGACTAACATTTGGATTTAATTACTGAAAAAAAAAGTTTCACTCATCGACTAGATTTCTTTATTTAAAATGCATCTGCATAAACTAAATCCTGCAACAGCCAGCTTTCTCCAAGTTAAACTTCTCCTTTTCATTTGGGAAAAGGAAAATGTGTTTTGTAGAAGATATATATAGTTTTTTAAAACAAAAAAAAATGTTGATGAATTGACCTCAGATCAGGCTGACATGCTCTGTGGTTTTTGCCTACACTTGTGTGCCAGAAGTGACACCGTAGTCCCTTCTGAGTAAACTTCACACCAGTCTGTATTTTGGAAAGTCATATTCTAAGCCTTCACACGTCTTCAAAAAAAGAAAAAAAAGTGCCATCACCTTTTACGGCTGCTGCTCGGTTCTTGCTGCTCAGAAACTGCAGCTCCAGATTTCGAAGCAGCTCTTTTATCTGTCTTCACTCTAGCTGATAAAAACTCTCAAGTGTTTTGTGTTAATCTCGGTGCTGCATGAACGAGGAAATCGTCTGCCCAGCTCTACAGACTACTGTAAGCGTGGCAGACTTTATTTTGTGTGTTGAAAGAAAAGAAAAAGAAAAAAAGCAACCAACATATCACCCCTGCGTGAACTGCCTGTTTTGAGTGTTTTCAAGAATGTCTAAGTGTCCCATGTGATTCTAATACGGAAAGTCCCATCGTGCGTATTTGATTGAAATCACTGCGCACACAGTCAAAAGCAATTAAACTGAGACTGAGAAGACGGGTCCAAATCAAACGGGACAAACAAAATCGTTCACCAGAACCTATTTTGACCTGTCGAGTTACAACATGAAAGGTGTTTCTTCCTCGAAAATATACCGCACACAGGAAGGGGGAAAGAAAATCTCACAAAGACGGTGTTTTCTAGTTGTGGTGCAATACTGACCGTGCCGTGGCTTTTCTCTTTGGTTCCGTACTGACCAGGAGCACAACTTGGACTGGTTTCCTCGGATGCGGGCCATGTCTCTGGTGAGCAGCGATGCCGACGGGGAGCAGAACGAGATCCGAAGCCTGCAGGAGAAACTGGAGTCCACCATGAAGCTGGTGACCAACCTGTCGGGCCAGCTCACCGAGCTCAAAGAGCAGGTTGGTGGGGGAGGGGGAACGAAGCCATCTGATCGCTCCGTCGTGGGGAAAGCATTAGATAGAAGTGAGACATCTTCACTGACAAATTCGGACACCTCGCGTTGCTCTTAGTTTGTTTCAACTTGTTGCCCTTTACAGAGCTTAGTAAATGCCAGTGAGTCATAGTTTGCAGCACAGCTTGTGAGCTTTTCAGTCTCATTTTGTTTTAATTCCCAACAGTTAACTGTTTTTTTTTTTTAGCAATTTAAAGAATATTTTGGAGTTAAATTGAATCTATTGTTATATGAACTGAAGAAAGTAGGTGTTCCAAACTGTTCTTTCTACTTGTGATGGCAAATATTTAACACCATATACTTCGTATTCAGATGTTGTTCTTCGACAGGCAAAAAGGTTTCGCTGAGTCTGCATATAAACAGGACTGTGGTTGCACAATTGCTGCAATCTGCTGCTTCTAGTAAACAGAATTGTAAAATTGCCCTTACCCTTGAAATGAGAACTATCTATGAGGAAGTGAATGTTTCTGAGACATTTTGACCCAGACAGGGGGAAATGATTATTGTGTTACTGAAAGCTGCGAAGGACACACAAACATTGGTCACATTTCATCCCGGGTTCAACATCTTGACAGGCTAGTTTTGGTTTATTTTTGCACTGAGAATGACTCAATTCTCTAAAGAAAAGACTTGAAATCCATTCATTTACACATTAAATGTAAAGCTTTGGTTTTAAAACTTAAGTAAAGTTTAAAACCAAACTTTACCTAAAAGGTTCAGGTAAAGTTTTTAGGTAAAAATAAATAAATAACTTACCTAAAAACTTAGGTAAAGTGACTAACTTTTTTTTAGTTCTTTTTGCCCAAAAAAGTCTAAAGTTCAGACAGAGGATAGCAGATGTTTATTGTCGCAGTGAAGGCTACACTGCCGTTTCCAAATGTTTCACGGTGTCTAGAAGGCTCTACAATTAATTATTGAAGAGTCGCAAGAAAAACTGTGCGTGGCCTGGAGCGCAACATGTCCAAAACTTTGGAGAGAGAAGAAGTTATTAGAGATGTCAATGAGGATTATCGTAGCTCAGCTGGCTTCTACTAGAGCTGAAGTGTCAAGGAAGACGGTCGGGGGAACTTTTCATTGTGGAGGACTTTTGGATCAATGTGCATTGCTAAGACACCGTCACATCAATATATGACTAAAGTTTGTCTGGGAATATCTGGAAAATGATGACTTGTTTTGGGAGCTTTTGGTCTGAGGAGACTAAACTGAAGTTCTTTGGACACACAGATGTTTTTGTGTGGAGAAGGAAACACAGCTCCCACTGAAAAACATAGAAGCGAGGCCATCAAGTTGTGGCGCCGTTTTGCTGATCTAGACACTGGGAACCTTAATTGTGTTCATCCAACCATGAAAACATTTTGGAGAGTAATTTGGAGAAAACCCACTGCAAGTCATGTTTTTGGCCGTCGCTGGCCAAGATAATGACCCAAAGCTTACCTTCTAGTCAGTCGCAAACCTTTCGAGGGACATGGTGGTCAGGATCCTAGAGGATCTTTCAGAGATCCCAGTTCTCGATCTGCGGCAGTCTGTGTTTATGCTCAAACACCACAGAATCTAGATGAAAATGTTGGCCCGTCTACCACAAGAGAAGAACTACATTGTAGGTTTGTTTGTTTTAAACTGTAAGAGTTTTTATTTGTTTTTATCTATTTTATGTACAGCACTTTGTATCAGCTGTGGTTGTTTTAAAGTGTTTTATAAATAAAGTTGGTTGGTAAGTTGGTACAGGAAGAAGATGAAGTCATGTATAAGACAGAGAGGCCACACTATTGACTATTGAACGTCAAAAGGGATAATGATCGAAACCTTTTCAGTTTTCTTGTAATATTTTCAGCACATCAGTAAAATACTGATCAAACTTTGTGGAGTCTTTTTCTGAAGCCGTACAATCATAAACAGTGTTTGTTATGGTCATTTCCATGGAAATATAAAGAGGTTTGTGTGATATCATCAGGGGAGCAAATATTCCTGGCTTTTGCTGTAGTTGTTGCACACGTGGCGCTAACAGGTGGCATCATGTTTGCCTTAAAAGTCAGCAAGTTTTTACATAGCTGTGGAGGAATTTTGGCCCAACTTTACTTGTAGAATTGTTCCAATTCAGTCAGCCAAAGGTCGTGCTACACCATCCCAATCAGAGTTAAGTCCAGATTTGTCTGAACACTCTGCTTTTTTTTTTTTTTTTTTTTTTTTTTTTTTTAGAATAGAATGTAATTGTACCTCAGGGGAAATTTGTGGTGGACTCATACTGCATAGCAGTAGCTGCCCAACAAACAATAAATATTTGCTCTGTCACTTTCTTGTTGAAGAATCATTTGCATTAATCTTGGGTGAAGCAAGCGAGATCTGCATTTCTTAAGATCTTGTTCATTGTTACTTTGTAAATTCCTGAATGAATGATTAATCAGGAATGGTGCCAGAAAGTGGTGTTTGCCTATTAACCCTATTTGTCATTTTTTAATTTTTCTTTTCCTGGCTAGCCTTCAAATCCAACTGGCTGTTGGCAGTAGCTTAAAGTATGATTCAGTAACTGTGACATTAAGGGTTATGAAAGTCATGTAGATGAAGTAGTTCTTTCAATTAAATCATTTAAAAAACACTTTTTTGTATTCGTTGAGTGTAATCTTTGATATTAGGTTTGTCTGAAGATCTGAAACATTGGCTGTGAGGAAGAAAAGAACCGAAGACTGTAGAGGTGTAAATACTTGTTCACAGCTTTGTATGTGTAAAGTGAATGAACTTCCATGCCAGAACTGCAAAAGCGCCATCACAACAATGAGGGAAATTATTATACATTGAGTAATTCTCCATTAATTTGTGTACTACTTTCGTAACATTATTTTTAAAAACTGTAGCTTGCTAACACTTAACTTTAACCTCTGAAATGTACAAAATGTGGATTTTTTAATAAACTTCACTGTGATTGAGTAATGCCAAGGAAAATTGGCTTAAGCAAAATATTAACTAGCTGTGAGAAAGAAAAACTGTTAGCTGAACTAAACTATCCACTGTATGAGCCTTGACAATATCCTCCTCAAGCCATTCCTTTGCTAAGCAGAGCTATATCCGTTGAAACACTCATTGCAGGACCACTTTGTCTTTTCACTATTAATACCATTGTGTTTCAGTGCTGTGCCGTATTTCACAACCTTATGTTAATTAAAGTTATTTCTGAGCAGAAAGGACCTTCCGATTCCAGCTGCTGCAAAGGTTACCACTGGTGTTATGAGTCAGGCTTTGCTTGATCTCTGAAATTCTAATCAACTGGGTTTCAGTATCAGTCGCTCGTATTGTGCTGCTGTCGTCAGACGAGCCGGCAGGGTGGATGACGAAGCTGGCAGGACTTCAGAAGAATCAGTTTCAGTTGCGCGTTGCATTTGTGCGCCGCAGATGTTAGTTTCTGCAAAGTGGTACGGAAAACCGTATCATCGACGACGGTAGTTCAGGGAAGCTCGACCCGAAGATGATGCTCATACTAGCAAAAGTGACCTAGCAAAAAAAAAAAAAAAAGACACCCTCATCTCTCTGTGATCTTCAGATGACAGAGCAGAGGAAGCAGAAGCAGCGGATTGGCCTGCTGGGACACCCTCAGCACCTGAACGTCAACCCCCAGCAACCTGCGTAGGGTCCGACTGCCGACGGAGTCCGAGGAGCCGCTCGGCGCCTGGAAAGGAACCCGTCGGGTCCTGGGACCAAGGCTTCACGATAATGTATGCAGCACTGAGTGTGAAAGTACCTTACGAACGGTAGGGAAACGCTGTAACATAGATAGCTATAAGGCGATGTGTAGCTCTACCCCACCCAAAGTGTTACTCCAGACAGTAACACACACCCACCTCATTCTGTTCTGTTCAATCTGTGCCAAATGTTTTTTTGGGGGTTTTTTTCTTTCTGAAGAAACAACTTGGATTTCTTAACAAACAGCCTTTAAGGGTTCAATTGAAAACATAATAGAATTGTTATTGTTGTTTTTTTTTATTTACTTACTTAAAAGTTTTCTATTTATATTCCTGACACTGAGCAGTATTTATTGTCTTATTCTTTTTAATGTTGTGCAATATATGAACTTAAATATGCAACCAAATGGTGTGTAGATTTAAGTTTTAAAACTTCATTTAAATCCACTGGGGAGTGGTTTCGCCTGTTCTTTCTCTCTAGACAATTAAGCTGTCATCTGTATTTACACATAAACTCAGATAAAATGACAATAATAATGATAAGTTGGGCTTCATAATGTTACTTCTTTTTTAGTTTGTCAAAATATGCATACTGTTTTGAGAGGCTTCTACACTCGGTATTTAGGACATTGTGTGAGAGCAATATAAACAAATAGATGGCTTCCATTATATGGTGAAATATTTGTGTTATTTTATGGGGCAGTAGCTTTATGATTTAACAGGGTTACAAACAGCCGTCTGAAACATGTCTGCTGTTAGAGGGGTTGCTCAGGAGTCATGTAGATTCTACAGTAATAATTACCACTGGTGTATTCTGACATGCGGCCGCTGCTTCTGCGGGAACTCTGTTCTTTTAGTTTGACGTTTTAGTTCTTTCCATGGTAGGAATGTACCTTTTGTTTCCGACAAGGGACGACTTTGTGTACATAAAGTTTGTTGCTTTACCTTTGCTTTTGTATAGAAAATTAAGATGGACACAAAAAAAATATTACTGTTACAAAATGTTAAGGGTAAGCAAAGCAAAGCATTGTCAATTTGTACACAGAGGTAGAATTATTTATTAAAATTGTAATTATCCTTTAATTGTGCTGTCCTTTTTTGTCTCATGTAGAATGCAACAATTTGTGATAGTTTTGGGGGGACATGTTGATACATTTTTATGTTACTGGTAGACATTTTTAAAAAAAAAATTAAAGTGTGCACATCACCTTTAAAGATAATATGTAGAATATAATTATACAAAATACTTGAATGAGCACCGATTGTCAGTTTGCATCTAGTTTGGACTCATAGTGTAAATATCTCACTGGGTTTACAGACATAAACAGAAATTTCTGGGAGGATTTGATTTTCGTCCCTCATCATGAATTATCCTCTCATTTTAGGAAAGGCTGTGTACTAAACTAAAAATTCCTAACAATTGTCTGACACGCTTTACATAAAGCAAATGTAAAGGGTGTAAATGCATTGGAGCATTAGTCCAATCAATTACCCAGGTAATATGCACTTATTATGGGTCAATAAAAAGAGTTCAAAAAGGTGAATTAATGAATGAATTTAAAATGGGACAACGCACAACATACACCAGGTTATAGCTACAAATGCTAATTTCCATGTGTTGTCCCCAAAACGCACAGTATGATTAAAAATCAACAGTAATAACCACAACATAATAAGAATATAAAAATATCAAACAGTCTCATCTAAACACACAGACTGCAGGGTGAATATTCAGTTATTTTTAGCTTATGCTATAATAGGTTATATATCAATCATTACTACAACATGATGAGCTAGAAGCACTTAAAAAAATCTAAATTAAGTAGGTATTTATTCCATATTTAAATTCTAAGAATCATATTAATACTAAATAGATGTTTCTTTATTATAGATGAAGCGATTGAGCCAAAAAATTGCTTCCATTTTTTTTTTTTTATGTATAAATAGTGTTATTGAGTGAATAGTAAGATTCACTATTTAGATTAAATGTGAGCCTGCGTTGCCCTGCATATTGACAAAAGCCCGAATATGAAACATTTCCTGACCTCTGATGACTATTTTCCCACTTCCCGCTCGCAGCTCGGCTGACTCCGGCGTTTTGAAGCCCTTTCTAAATATAGCCGGTCTGCTTCGGGACGTCGCCGAGTGGGACCGACTGACCGGTCTCGGCCACTCTCGGTCGGCTGCCAGGCTGACGTCAGCGGCGAGGGATCCTGTGTGCCGAGTCCATGAGGAGCTCAACGTGACGGCCTGATTTAATCAACACGGCGGCAGCTTTGAAAAAAAAAAAAAAACGCAGCTCTATAACAAACCGTGTCATCCTGCCGGAGGTGCACGTGCCAGGCAACAATCGGCGTGACACTGTGGCTGTCTCCAGAGACACCGTGACATTAAAATGCCTCGTGGTCCAACTTTCTGTCAATAAAATGTATTGTTCGTTTTTTGTTTACATCCTATATGATTTAAAATAGTTATCGAATTATTATGTTGTGCTTACTTTGTTTAATTTATTGTTACGGGTTTTTTTTTTTTTTTTTTTTTTTTTTTTTTTGCAACAATAAAGACAACAAGCTCACGAGCTCGTAATGTTGCTGTTATTGTTGGAAACTCGCTCGCGCTGCAGTGAACTGCGTCCGTCTGGAGCGGCCGCTCCGGGTTCATGTCTGAACGTGGAGCACAAACTGCGGCGTATCCGCAACTTTGGGGCCGATATTTCACCTCATGTCTCATGTTGCTCCACTTTCTGTTGATGTAAACACACCGAGGCTCTGAGGGAAAAAAAAAAAAAAAAAAAAAAAAAACAGAAAGAAAAAGCTCAGCAGCGCGAGGCCAGTCGGAGGAGCGTGGAGCTCCACGAGACTCAGCGCCGAGCACTTCAGAGAGAGGTGGGGCTACGGCAACCCGTTCGGACATTTAATGACGGCGGAAGAGTCGCGTTTTTATTTTTGTGACGCATTCTTCACTTATTCGGTGAAATTACTGGTGAACAATGTTTTTTTGAGCTAACATCACCATACTACTGGCTCACATAACCAATCTGGCTGTCAAATATCAAGTATTGTTGGAGCAGTCATTGTAAAAATTTTCATGAGCATTCTTTCATTGTTGTTTTGTCAACATATAATATTTCTAATCCTGGATATAAAGATGAGCACTTATACACTTGATTAAAAAAAAAAAACTAGCAGTGACCCTGACACTGCAGTATCTAGAGATGACTGTCAACCAATATTGATACTCAGGAATCTGAGTCTGCATTTGTGCATCTCTTGTTTAAAACCCAAAGGTGGTCAGACTGATAACTCCACTCTGAACATTGATCATTTAAAGTGAATATTGATTATGTTTCAACATCTTAAAAAAACAAACAAAAAAAATCATAACTGGACAAAAGGCAACACTGAATCTCCACTTTAGCCTTCAGCACTGATGAGATTATTTAAGACAGTTTGTGAACCATTTTAATCGTGAAAAGACATATATATATATATATATATATATATATATATATATATATATATATATATATATATATAACAGAACCTTGTCTGCTGTTCATAAACTCTGTACATTGTGTCGAATTGAACATTCTGACAAACTACGAATGGGTGTGTCTGTTGATTAAATATAAAAACGGCTTGCCATCCGCGCTCCTCCTCGCGGCACGCAGCGCGGGGGGAGGAGGGGGAGGATGGGGTGCTGGGGGGTGAGGAGTTGAAAGCGCCGTCCAACACGTGAGGCTCATGTGACGGAGGAGAGGCAGTTTCTCTCTCCGAGAGAGAGAGAGAGAGAGAGAGAGAGAGAGAGAGAGAGAGAGACGTGCCTGCAGTCACAGGGTTTATTTAACACGTAGTCATCAACCCACCCAGCTCTCACACATCGCGCGGGGCGTGGAGCTTCTCCCTCGGCATACTAACGAGCCCAGACCGGAGAGTGACGGCACTCTGAACTGCGACCAGCCTCAGCCTGCAGCAGGACCACAGCGGAGCAGGCGTCACGCTTCTTTTTGCTTTGCTTTTTTTATTTATTTTTTTGTTATTCTTGACTTTTTCCTTTTCGCCCTCTCTTCTCTTTTTGTTCCGTTTTAAAGGAGCGAGCGCTTTTCAGGTGATTTTATTTTTTTGTCGCCCGTCGATAAAGCGACATGGAGCGGATTACCAGTGCGCAGCCGCCTCCTTATATTCAGAAACACGCGTCAATGGATGGAGCCGACATGCGCCGGTAAAACACGATGCGTTTTCACAACCTGAACCTGCTGCTGTTCTTCTATGAAACACTTTAATCTCAAATATTGTTTTGTTTTATCCTTTTCCTTCTACAGACTAGAATATCCTATTTATATGTGCAAAAGCAGGAGGGGAGTGAAGAGCAGGGATGAATGCAAGGTATACATTTCAGTTCAAAATGAAATTGTGTATATATATATATATATATATATATATATATATATATATATATATATATATATATATATATATATATATATATATATATTTTTTTTTTTTTTTTTTTTTTTTTTTGTTTTTGTTTTTTTTGTTTGTTTGTTTGTTTTTCCAGTTTGATTTCCAGATCTTAAATATTACTGACAGAATTTTAACTTTGTCCAGGAGACTTACAAGTTGCCACACAGACTGATCGAAAAGAAAAGACGGGACAGAATAAATGAGTGCATTGCCCAGCTGAAGGACCTGTTGCCAGAACATCTTAAGCTTACAGTGAGTAATGAATGCATTGAGTTAGTCTGAGACTGAAATCCAGCTGATTGCATCAAATGTTGGCTTTAATTAATTTATTTTTTATTTTTTTGCAAAGCTATAGAAAAAAACACGAGCTACATTTAAAAATATGTTTTAAAAAAATGTACCAACAGTTTACATTCCTGATTAGCATGTTGTGGAGTTTAAGATTTAATCCTGTAAGGAATCGTCCTTGTGTGCATAGTTTGCGTAGTTTCCCCCCTCGGTGTTGGCCGCTGGCCCTCTGTTCAGCTGCAGAATGTGTTACATAAGGAAGATCAACATGCTTATCGAAGGTCTTCCTGTTTTAGACGCTGGGTCATCTGGAGAAAGCCGTGGTGCTGGAGCTCACACTGAAGCATGTGAAAACTCTGAACGCCGTCCTGGAGCAACAGCAGCAGAAAATAATGGCGCTCCAGAAAGACCTGCAGATCAGTAAGTTGGATTCCTAATGCCTTGCGTTGGGATCATTAACAAATGGCTTTTTTTTTTTTGAGAATTTTAAAGACAAGTGTGCTCTTTAAAAGCTAAAGTCTTAAAGAAATTTGAGTTTCATTTTGATTGTGTTGATTCAGGTGATAACGTGGGAGATGGTGCTGAGACCAGTGAGGAGATGTTCCGCTCTGGCTTTCACCTCTGTGCCAGAGAAGTCCTCCATTACCTGGCGAGTCAAGAGACCACCAGGGATCTGACCCCCTCACACGTCATCAGTCACATCCAGAAGGTGGCCGCTGAAGTTCTTCACAACGGAAGCAGCCCTCAACCCGACAGGTCTGCCGCCCGAGAATCTGATGAGGCAAAGAGGCCAGTCGGGCAGCCGTCGGTGTCGCCCGAGGCCCCGGGTAGGAACTGTGTCCCGGTCATCCAACGGACTTGCCACCACGGGACGGGGGAGCAGAGTGGCAACGATACGGACACTGACAGCGGCTACGGGGGAGAACACGACAAGCCTAAAGCCCAGTGGTCAGAAAACGAGAAGGAGGGCGAGGCAAAGCCTCCCGCATTGGAGCGGACGGTCAGTGTTGTCAAGCAGGAAGGCGACCAGCCCCGGGCAAAGAGGTCAAGAGTGGACTCGGAGGATGAGATGCTCTCCTTCCACCCAGCGGGATTTCCTGGCAGTTATGTAAACGTCTCTCCCAACCAGCCCCCTTTTTCCTTCCCCTTCTACCTCATCCCCCCATCGACGGCGGCAGCCGCGGCATACCTCCCGATGCTGGAAAAATGCTGGTACCCCGGCGGCATGCCCATCATGTACCCGGGCCTGACCTCGGACCCGTTGTCCTCGTCTCTGTTGATGTCTCCGAGGGCGGGGTCTCCGGTGGCCCACCGCATCCCAATGGATTCCTCCACTCTCCACAAAGCTTTAAGGCAGGTCTCTCCTTTGAACTTGGAAGCCAAAGACTGAGCAGATGGTTCACCTATCAGCTTTGCCCCACTGAATGTTGAACCAGAGGGGACAGTGTTGACCCTCTGGGGTAACTTGGCCTCTCAGAGCAAAACCCTTTAAGGACAACACTGTCAGACATTGACCTCCGGACTATTTTTTGAGGCTCATATTAAAGACTCTGTACAACCCCTTCAACACTGTGAAGACGGCCATTTTAAACAGCGCACAAGAGATTTCAAAAGTTTATACATTTTTTTTGACTCCAGAAATTACGAATGTCAGAGGGAATCCCAGAATATAACCCATATTCCTCGTTTTATTTCTCGTCCCAAATCAATTGGGACCTGTGTTGTTGTTCACCACCCCTGAAATGAATGTAAAGATGTATAAAGAAGAAATTAATAAAATCTGCTGTGAATGCTGCTGTAGATCTGCAAATGTCAGGATCTACCCTCAGTGTTTGCCACCCCCAGGGACAGCTACAAGCCATTTTAACCAAAAAAGAAAAACAACCAGCATCTCTGGGTCATGACCTCCCAGACCTAACTTCTCTCACGTCTGTTTGTGCCGCCACTGAAAACAAATGCAGGAATTCAAGAAGTTCAGAGAATTCAGGGTGTTGGCCCGTCGTAGCCTGTACCAGGTGCGTCACCTAATCTGTCGAAGCGGGCTTCTAAAACCTAATCTGTGACTCACGGCTATTTTTATTTGATTACTTTTTTTTTTTTGTAAGTTGCATCCAGATGGAGCGCCTGTGAAGTAACGTTTTGGTTTTGCTTTTCTCTTTGTACATCTCTATTTTTGATACAAGACCCGCAGAGTGGGTTTTTTTTTTTTTTTTTTTTTTGTGCTGCGCGCGCGTGTGTGTGTGCGTAGCTGCCGCAGGAAGGATGAGGCAGCAAGTTTGTAGACGTGCATCTGGAGCTCCTGTTCCCGCCTTCTTCACTCGTTTAACCCAAACACCACGATGACTGGAGCTGCAAACAAATTCGATGTTTGTCTTTAGCAGGAGCGCTTGAATGTAAAATTCCCAAAAACATTTAGTTTTGTATAGAAAGAGGTACTTTAATTGGTTTTTATTTTGACATTGTAACAAAAGGATGTCCATATTTTGTACATAAAGTATTATTGATATAAATATATATATATTAAAATAATAATAAAGCTTTTGGTCCTCCTGTGGAGTCTGTGTTCGACCGCCTGTTTGGCTTCAACGTGTTGCAGCCAGCCACCCTGACAACTCCTCAGCACACCTCTTACATAACACTTACATAACACATAAAGCTGCACAGCCTCTGTAAATCAATAGCACGTCTTAGATTACAGGCTTGGACCTGATTCTAAAGGCTTTCAGGGGGGGGAAATGATATCACGAGTTAGTTTTACTTCTTAAAAAGCTGGTCATTGTGCATAAGTCGCTTTTCACACTCGTAAAAAGGTGGAGTTCTAACACTGTTGAGGGACGGCCATTGAGTCTGCCTCAGTGGAAACGAATCCTCCCTGGTCGGGGCAGCTTCGCGTTTAATGATGACAAGTCTCCTTTCATCTTCATTTCCTGCAGGTGGTAATGTAAGCCCAGTTAAAAGCAAGCGTGGAAAAATCAACAGGTCCCTCCATCAGGACGTCCCGCCCATCGTGCCTCTCTGAGATGCGTGGAAGTTTTCTTCTTCTTCTTCTAATCACAACAAAATGTTGTGACTCGAGCTGCAGATCAGTGAGATGATCTCAGCTGCCTTCAGGGCCCGTCTTCTCTCAGTGGTAGTTCCCACAAACAAAAACATGCGACGCGAGCGCCACCATGTGGGAGTTGGGTTTCATGCTGCTTTTCCGTTTTCAAATTAAGAGGCCCCAGTGTGTCAAATCGGCTTTCGACGTCCAGGGATTTGACAATGCGCCCAATGAGTAAAACCAGCTTGTTTTGGAGATTGTGTGTGTAATTGGGTTCCGACGCAGTCTGGAAACATTTTGAAGTAGCTTTTTTTTCAGCAGAAAAAACAAAAGTGAGATTGAAAATTTGTTTTGATCTTGCAGAATCTCTTCCTCCTTCCATTTCCTAAAGCGCAAAAGTGTTTTCATGTTAATTTTGATTAATTTGACGCTTTAGTTTGCTAAGCCACACCTTGATTTTAAGATTTTCACTATCATGGGGTTATCATGGGGTATGATGTTTTTTTTTTTTTTGACTTAATGACTGAATGCGGACCAGTAATAAATGAAAAACAACTTTGCCATCTTGCTTCCTGTTTATTCTCTTGACAACTTAAGAGACTTGATTCTTTAAGTCTAATCTGCCAAATGACGCAGTAAAGCTACTATGCCCGTCTATTTTTTTATACCTGATCATATGAATTCAAATCTACAACTTTCTTGCGCAAAGCAACGATGCTACCAAACAGACCATTGTCCAACCATAGTTGAATTTCCTATGTTTTAATATATTACAAATAATATAAAGGTTCCACTACTCACTTTGTTGCTTCTGGCATAACTGTAAAGTTTTTGCGTCTTCACCTTACCACTTTCTGCTTCATCTTTACCTCAAAATAAACCGCTGTGCTGCTTTACATGTTTGAACCCGTGGCCTGGTTAGCATTCATGCTAGTCAGACTGTACTGCAAGTGTCATCCTGTGACAACTAATCACGCCGCTTGTGGGTATCAACAGTGTTGCCATAAAGTACATGGATGTAGAAAAGCTCAAGGTGTTGTGAATGAGTTTGATGAGTAAAGAGATTAAATGTTGGCCTCTTCTGCCCCCAAGTGGCCGAGTGTTGCTAAAACAAAAAAGGAGAAAAAAGTACGTCAAATCCCTTTCTCGGATTTTTTTTTCTTGGTGATCCGATTAGTAACTCAACTGTAATAAAATCAGACCATCATAAAAGTTAAAGTTAGTTGTGATGTGCCAACAAAACAAAGTTTGATACTTTTCTAAAGGTACCATACATGTGATGGTGAAGTTTACTAAATGTTATAGTTCCGTCAGGCCGAAGGGCAACAAACAATAATCAGAGTGAAGTTAATTAACAATATTTATTGCTACACACATCAGAGGATCCCCAGCTAACTTAAATTTAACCGGTTTATACATTTAGACAAATGTATAAACCTACCTGTGGCGTGGAACATCCACATGCCCAGGTAGTGCTGCCATTAACAATGCAGCCCTGCATAAAAACACCACATCAGCACTTAAGAGACTCACTTTAAAACAGTTTTCCTCCAAACCTACCACAGCCAGCAAACAGCATGGGCCCAAAACACACCTGGTCTCACACACCGGAAATGAACACCTGGCCACCGCCCTTCCACCTTCCCTTTTCTGGAGGCTCAGGCTGTGGAGAGTGCGACACCTACTGGTGCCACCTGTTACATAAACACTGCATTAGAACCAAAAAGAGAGATGTAACTTCTATCATGAATATAGACGAGCTGCTTTTGAAAACCGCTCTGCTATTAGTTTGGGTTCATCTTTCCGTGGTATTTCTGTTGTTTTTTATTCATTGACACTCTTAAGTCGACTCGCGTGGCAAAAAAAAAAAAGACAGAGAAGGAACACCCAATCTCATACCTATTTTATTTTGAAAAGCTTTTAGCGGAAGTGATTTTCTTTCTCCCTGAGGTTCGTTACGAGGTTGAGGTCTGGTTTGTTTACTTCCTCCTCTGCCTGCAGCGGACCAGGATGTTCCGGATTGCGGAGCCGCCGCCGCTGCTGCTGCTGCTGCTCGGACTCTGCGGCTCCCTGCGGGCTCAGAGCCCGTCTCCTCCCTCGGTCGTCATCGACCTGGACGAAGAACCGGAGCTGCGGTGGTTGGTTCTCAAAAAGGTCTTTGACGTGAACTACCTGAGCCGAGCCGCGGCAGAAATCATCGAGTGAGTCTCAAGTTTAGCGTATGATAAAGTTTAATACAATGTGTTTGTTTGTTTGTGACGTTCACAGACCAGCTGAGCTCAGTTAAAATGAGCATAATTGTGTTCAGGTAATGAATTGCTGAAGCGTTAGGACAGAGTTATGACACGGATTATTATTATTTTAATAAATTACATTGTGGAGGTTGTGTGAATGTTTCGTAATAAACTATAATATTGTTACATGAAGTAATTTGCAGGGACAAAACCCAGAGAAAAGATGAGGGGAAAAAAAATAAAAAGTTTTAAAAAGTTCAACCTTGTTCTGTTTTGAACTGATCTGGTTCAATTAATATCCAGTTGTATGTTTTTTTCCCCCACAGAGATTTTTGCTCAGCCCAAAATGTTTGAAGTTATGATATTTTATGATTTAGTGTTGGGGAAATGCCAATGCAAATTCTCCATCCGATAGCATTACAAGACTGAACTATGGGATCCAACTTGTAAGTTTGGATGGAGAAACTCAATTAAAGTCAACATTTGTTACATTAGAGATGTACTATTACAGTGCTGGGTCTTAATGGCAAAATAAAAGTAAAGGTAATTTTATTTATATGGCACATTTTCAGCAATACAATTTACAGGAATTAAAAGGAAATACAAACAAAATAACAAACCAAAAGAAAGAGCAAAAGAAGAAAAAGCTAATAATGCTGATCCAAAGTAAATAAACTAAATAATAAAGATGAGTAGCCACTCATCTAAACCACAAACCACTGCATAGAACAAAATATATACAGCAAAGCTGCACATAATGATATATACTCTAGTATTAGTGTCAAGTATTAGCATATTTGAGCTATTACGTACAATTTGGGGGTGTGCGTCCTTCTCCTGATTCTATGGGCCTCTGTGCACAAGATGCCTGAGATCTCAAATGTCAAGCTAGTGAACTGCCACCATCTCATCACAGAAGTTTTCTGATACCGGTCCGGTGACTTTCATGCTCCATAGAGCGCAGATTTTCAAAATAAAATAAAAAAAAGAGGTCTAACCTTACTTTGTTGCTGATAAAATAGTGAAACTTCCACTCTTTGGCAGTTTCAGAGTGGCAACTTCTCTACATGACAGGCTGCAAATTACTGGCTGTGTAGTTGGAACCATTTATTCAGACATTCTGTTAGAAAACAGCCGCATAGCCGCAGTTTTTTTTTTTTTTTTTTTCACTGTTTGACTTTAAATAAAGTGTTTTCTGTTTTAGGTCAGTTAGGACTGTCACCATGATTTCTATTTGTTACATCAAAATAAAATGATCATCTTTATTTATGACATTCTTAAATCTACATGAGTGGATTATTATGCATTTGAACAATTGGATGATGATGTCATGCCTTTGTAAATCAGAAGCAAATGTAGGTAAAATTAAAGAAAAAAAACACACCTCCAGGGGGCGACCACGAGCACCAAGCTCATGTGAAAAAAATCCCCCAAATATAGAATATCAAAAACAAAAAATACAAAGTAAATACTATTACACATGGGAAATGATATTGATGTCATTTTAATAGTTGTTATACAGTTAATATTTTCCTGCTGTTGGCTTTTGTCAGTGTTTGGAAATTAAAAGATATCAAACTTGTTTGTTGCAAACTCAGTGTCTATCAGCTGATATTAATTTCAAATAGTATGGCACACTGCATTACCACTCTGCACTTCAAAAATCCAAATAAATTTTTTTTTCAGTTGGCTCTTATACCACTGGTGTGACGTAAGCTAATTACAAATGACACCAGTGAAGGTTGGCATGTTACATACATAGACAACCTCAGAACATTCAACACACTAACATGTCAAAGTCTGAGTCACTCCATTTATGTTCGATTATGATCATGTTTACAGTAACTTCTACTGTGTGTTTTTTTTAAATATGCATTTATTCATTTATTTTTTGCTTCTGCAGAGCAACAGTTCCAAAATGGGTGCATCACGCAGCGATCCCGATTGTGAAGTCCCTGGAAAAATACATTCCTCCGCCGTATGCTGGCGAAATCCGTGGCCTGGCCTCTGTCCTGGGAGGGAACCTATCTGATGCCATCATTCTTAACTTTGCCTATGAATTCACTGCGTATGTACAGTTACAATTATATGTCTTCATTTGTAAATGAACAAAGCCAGCTTGTCGTATGCCGACAGGTATGCCATTGAAACCCAGGAGTACTAACAAAAACCCAACTTTCTGCTTTCATAGCTTTTGCACCAGCATCGTGGCTCAAGATAAAAATGGGAACGTGTTTCACGGGAGGAATCTCGACTACCCTCACCCTGTTCTGAGAAATATGACCGTGAATTTAGTCTTCCAGAAGAATGGAAAGGTACAACACGGACTCGGCATGATGGAGCGGGGTAGCTGTTCAAAGGAATTTTTACAAAATATTAATATATCCACAGGCTCTTTTTCTTCTAGCAGTTTTTTTGTGTCCAATTTCTGAATGTTCAGAATAGTTTTTTTTATGCTTCCTTATTTATATTGGAAGTAGAGCCGACTTCACACTGTGTGCGTTGAGTTCTACTTGTTTAACTCAAAGAGAAGGTTACCATGGAGCTGACATTTGAAACAGTCTTCAGTTTTATAATAGCGATTAGCAAAGTTATACTCTGTACTTAAATCAGTCATAAAAATGCTGTAATTTAAACATTTGCCCAGTGGAAGGGGAACTGTGATGCTCCTTCATTGACTTTTAGGCGGCGTACTACGGAACGTCATTTGCCGGTTATGTCGGCTTGTGGACAGGAATGAGTCCCAACAAGTTCACCGTATCCGGCGATCAGCGAGGTGAGACAATCTTCACGGTCGGAACAGATGCTACATTTCATTTGATTCGTTTCCCCATTTTTAATATTTGTTTCCTGGTTCACCAGGGACTGAGCACTGGTGGAACTGGTGGAAGAATGTTGTGTCCGCGGCCCTGTTTCACAGGTCGCCGGTCAGCTGGCTTGTGAGGGAGGTGAGTACGTTTCTTACAGGAAAGCAGTGGCTAAATGTGGCGCTTACAGCTTGAGGAAGTGAAACGAATCATATGTGATTCATTTAGACTCTGGAGGAGGCCGAGGACTTCCTGGATGCAGTCATGCGTCTGTCCAAAACCCCCCTCATCACCGGGGTGTACTACATCGTGGGTGGGGTGCGAGCCAAGGAGGGAGTCGTCATCACCAGAGACCGAAAGGGTCCCGCTGACATCTGGGCCCTGGAGCCTTTAACTGGAGGGTATGGAGAATCTGCAGGGGGGTTGGGTCGATGGGACTGAAGGCAGGTGTAACCTTTCCTCGTTTGTTTAGATGGTACAGAGTGGAGACGAACTTTGACCACTGGCTTCCTCCTCCTGCAAAAGACCATCGAAGGTCAGTCATCTCACATGATGATGATCCATAATGTTTGCTAACTGATTAAGCTGCGGTTATGTGATCGTATCTTAGGGAAACGGCAAACAAGGCTCTCAACGCTACAGGTCAAGACCACATCAACATGGACAAACTTTATCAGGCAAGTAGGGTCTAGTCGATACCTAAGGTATTCTTTACCTCATAAACACTAACCACAATGGGTTTCATTGAGATTTTATGTGATAGAATATTCCTCTGCTTCCTCTTAACATGCATTTAGGTCGAAGCAGATTTTCCCAGTTTTAATTGAGGGGACGCCTTAGATCATCTTGTTCTGCACTTAATTCACTTCAAGGAGTCCATAATGATAGATGTTAGGTTTAGGTGATACTGGTTGTAGTGAGAGTCTCTTCACATTTCAGAATGGGACACATAATGATCAGTGAGTCTTGTCCTGCAGGTCTTGTCACTGCATCCCGTCTGCAACAGGTAAGATGCTTGTTTGCTGCTGTCTTTAATCTGTTAGCATCTAGAAATCACATGTGTTGTTGTTGTTCTGCACAAATGGAGCCGTACTGTGCAGAGCAGTTTTACTTCCTGTTGTTCAGCAGACGCCCAATTATCGACGTGCTATTTATCAGGTTTTGCACATTTTTCATGTGAACCATCCAGACTTTTCCAGAAGTCTCAGTCCTTTATGGTTATTCCACCACAGTTCAATATGAGGTTCTAGTAGAAGTAGAAAGTAAGGGAAGGAGGGACATAAAGGGTTCAACCTGGAATTAGTAATAAGGTCTAAATATGCAAATACTTTTCCTTATTTTAATTCCATCACATTTGACGACGTCCGCCGCCTTCTGTCTTAAATCCTCACAGAATTACAGTTTATACCACAGTTATGAGTGCAGCATCGCCTGGGAATTACACCACGATCGTCAGACCACAGGTATGGACGTGATAACGGTCAATGAGAAATGATCAGAATAACTCACTCACTCATCTACATCTGACAATCTATTTTTAGGGCTGCTCCAAAACCGACTGATCCGACTGTGTGTGTAGGACACAAAACACATTTCTGCTCATCACATGCAGATATGTGGAAGTGAGATTGAGGAGGTTTGACTTCCTTGTTTTTTTAGGTTGCCCTTAAAGAAAGAACATTGAATCTTGCCGCTGCCTTACCCAGCTAGCTTGCACTAATTTTGGTGCTTCAAAATTAGTGCATTTTGAAGCACCAATTAGTTAAAAACAATAGGAGAGAGGAATGCTGGAATGTGACATTTTGACTCATTCAGTCTCATCTTTTTCTTTTGTCTTCTACAAAACCAAATCAACAGACACAATTGAAGAAATGGCTCTTTAATTCTTCTTTAATTTTCACCTTTTCACACAGAAAAAAGCTTGACCTTAAACTAAAGCCACTGAAATATCCTATCAGGAACCAGAGCCATCTAAATAATGATGGTCTCCACTTCTCCAATCAGTCACACCATTACATTTAACCAGTAATAATAAATAAATAAATAAATAAATAAAAAGTTCTTTAGTAAGTGCACATATAACCGAATGCCTTATGCAAATTGTGTAAATAATGTAATTTTACTGATGCTCTTTAAAATCATGCAAATGTTTTAACAGGTTTTTAGGGGTTTCTTTGTGTATGTCAATTATATTTTGTGCGTTTGCAATAAAGCTTTAATCCATCATGTGAAACCCTGCAAAAAGTAAAAGGAGATGGGAATTATTGAACTGATGACGAGGACACATTTTCATCGCTGTGTTGCTCCATGTCATGATGGATATCAGTTTGTTTGGAAATCATTGACTGGTTTTAATAAAACCTTGCCTTACCACAAGTGTCATTGTTAATTAATTTTGGTTGAATTCCTATATATATTTATGAAGCGTTATAAAGAAGAAATGGGAAGTCTGATCTCTGTTCTCTTTTCTCTTCTCCTCTCCATAAAGTTTCTTTGAACTATACCTTAGTTACAAGACAACCAGGAGCTTCGGTTTGGACTTTAATGTTAGAAACGGTGATTTTAACATGCGACCGAAGAGGAATTGAGCGTTAAGTTTTGTTTGGTGAAAGATCAATAAGAGCTGAGGGGAATGAGGACGCTGAGCCACCAGAGGAACAAATCAAACGACAGACTTTTGAGTTCAGGGGAAACCCAAGTCAATCATTAACACAAATTTCCTCCAAATGTGGAAGCAAATATTTACACAGACGTAAAAAATGTAAAAAAAAAAAAAAAAAGAGTAATTTTTTTATTGTCTTGTATTAAATATGAATTAATTTCCTATTTTAGGTCACTTAACATTAGCAGAATTGTTTTCATTTGTTTCATACAAAAGTGAAAAGAGAAATCATTTTATGTCTTCAGATCCACAAGCCTCCTTACATCTGAAGAATTAAGAGAGGGAATGATCAATATTTCTGATATAAATAGAAAAGGAAACAGAATAACAAGAACTTCACAGAATGATCTAAGCTCACATGGCGAATGCAGAACAAGAGAGATGTGGTTTATTAATAACAGATAAATGAGGGAAAGCAGCGATCTGGAGATGAACTGAGGGAAAGGCTGAAAAGAACCGACACAGAGAACCACAAAAAACAAACAGACAGAAAAGCATACAAATGGAAACGGGAAACAAGCCAACAACAGATCCAAAAGGTGACGTGGAAACTCAGAGTAGGAGGCGGCGAGGAGATCACATTCATCCAGGAAGGACAGGTTCCTAAATAAGCGCTTACAAAGGAAAGCATAACATGAAGACTGAAATCCACATCCCAACCTAAATACAATACGAATCTAAAAGGTGAACTGAAAATGAACAGCAAATGGCGACGAAACACAAGACAGCGAAAGAAAAAGGAGACATAGTTCAGATCAGGACAAATCACACAGAAGCAGTTAGATGACTCTTTATCAAGAGGCTACATTTTACCACTATAGCTGGCTGTCCTTCTTGACAGCTAGTAGGACAGTCATAGCTGCCTTGTGAAAATGCAGTACAACTTAATAGAAAGCTGACTTTTCAATTTGATGAATTGAAATTGGGTTGCTGTTTCTTTAAGAAGCTCCTGCTCTTTGCAGCACGTCGCCTACGGTTCGTCATCACAACAAGGCTCCTCGTTATGCCATTTACAAGTGCTCTAAGGGGCTTTTACTGAGCAGTAGCTGGCATAACGGGCTCAATAAATGATGAGGGAATAACATAACAAAAAAAGTCAAAAAGTCTATGTTACATAAAACCTCCTGACCTCCTCTTAACAGGAAGTGGTAAGGCCAGATTGCTACCTGAGAAAAGTCACCAAACATACACCGAGCTGTTCTGCAACACTGCCATCTACAGGCTCTTTCGTGTCACTGCTAATACATGTAAAAGTTGTTTTTTCTTCTAAGCTCAGCCTTACTAAATCAAGTTTTCGTGCCTGTTCTGCTTATCTCACAAATGTGAATATCTAACACACATTTCCTTCAGCAGGCTGCGTCATATTCCTAGAAATGATCTTTCTGTTCTTTCCCAACAGTCTCCTTTCTCAATGAGCATGCTCTAGCACGACACTGATCACAGTGTACAAGGGAGACAGTCACCAGATAAGGATGTGTTTATTTTCTGGTTTATCACGCAAATATGTAAAAAGAATGCGCAAATGGCCTTGTCCCAGAAAAGCTGAAAGATAAAATATCTTCCACTAACAAATGTGTAAAATGAGAAAACACAAGTCAAGTTACAGAAATATCCTGCAGAAAGATGCTGAGGACAGTGAGAGTGAGTCAGTCATGGCTGCCTTCAAATGACGGCCATGACTGTCGTGTGAAGAGATCTTTTTCTGTCGGTGATGGAAAAAGGATTGCAGAAATACTAATGATGAAAAAATAAATAAAAACTAGTCAGAAATGTTCTAGAAAAACACAAATAATTTTCTGAGTTTCAAAAGTTGAACATTTCTCGGACATTTGGCAGAAGAAAACAAGAACATTTCTATTCGAAAAGTCAAAAGTCTTGCCTCAAAATTTTGACAGTAATTTCAGAAACTGCCTGGACAAAATATTTCATTGAAAAATGTCAACTTTTCAAACTTGGGATTTGTTTTTAAAAGAAAATTCAGAAATTAATCTGAAAATGTCAAAAAAATGTACAGTTGAAGGTTTTCCTTCTTCTCCTCTTGTCAGAATCACAACAAACCTGTCTACACTCTTTAGCTGTGCAGAAATGACTTGCAGTAAACTCTGAGACAAACCGGTGCTTACAGTGAAGACTGTTCCCATTTGTTTCACTGCTGCTCGCTTTCACAGAGACGTGTTATTCCTTAACTGTGTCATATTTTTAAAGCTGGATGTTTCTGGAGCACATCTTGTCCACTTTATGTTGACATGAAAGGCAGGTCATATTTTAATGTGTTTCTAGCTTCTTGTAAAAGAAAAAAATAAACACAAAAATCAAGATATGTTAATTCATTTTAAATCAGATCACTGGAATTGCCTTGGTGTAGATCCAATTGTCATATTTCAGGAAATAAACGCACCTAGCTGAAAAATCTAAAACATTCCTAAAGTACATATTAAGTCTAAGAACTGAAAGGGAAAAAAGACAAATGGGTGTAACACTGCATAAAGCTGGATAAAGCATGAAAACATGCAAACCCTTGGCAGATATCAACCCTGACCCACGTCTCTTATTTTATTATAAAAACCCATTAAAGGAAGGCGGTTTGGCTTTTATCTGCATTTCATTATCACCTTAAAGCTGCCAGTCTCGTTCAGTGTCGCGCGGCTCATTCTTCTGACTGATGCAGTCATGATGCTGTGGAGTTCAGCGCTGCTGGTTCTGATTGGACTCTCTGGGTCTCTACGGTCTCAGCAGCCGCCTACAGTGTCTGTCGATCTGGACCTTAGTCCAGAACAGCGGTGGGAGCATCTTCAGGAAGCTTTTGATGCAGATTTAATGAAAAAAGCTGCACAAATCCTCATTAGGTAAGTCCTTCTATGTTTATCCATCAATAAAAGCCATAACACACAGACTTAGGGAATATAAGCAACATCTAATCCTGCAAAAGAAAATTCTCAGCTCAGTTTGATATTTTAGTTTCCATAGGGTAAAGATGTAGATTTACATATAATTTTTTTTTCTACTATATTTATTATGCCTGGAAATATTCTATAAATGGAGCAGGTTATTTTATTCCCTTGTTACACAAGTTACTATTCGTGTTAAATTATTCCAAGCTTCTTTGGATGTCCTCCAGGATGCCATTTTATCTTATAGTTTTGATTTGTTGACGTTTAATCGCCCTAAAATGACATCAAACTGTGTCAAACTTTTTGGAAATCTTGATAACGTGTCGGACAAAATGTCGGAAGTGTGACCTTGACTGTAGCGTGTGTGGCTATTTGGGAGATGTCAGAACAAGAAAAAGTTTCCCATGGCTGGTTTGAACTTAAACACTGCATCGCTTGAGGAAGAAAGAGTCAACATATCACTTCGTATGGATTATTCTCTAATTTTTGATTAGAGAAGTTAAAGCTTCTCCGTGTTGGCTCTAACAGTGAAGGACTTGCAGATTACAGGTGGAACCCAGCACTTTTTTGAAATTCATTATCTCTATTCAACTTATTTTGCGAAAAGAAAGTTCTGTGTCCATTGGTAGGTCTTTACTCTTAGACACTGAGACAATATCTTCTATTATACACATGTAAACAATAACCACAATGCTTTTTATCTATGTCAATAGTTCGCAGGTTCCAAATTGGTTGCATAAGGCAACTAGCCCCATTGTGATGTCCCTGGAAAAACGCATTCCCCAGCCGTACGCCGGGGAAATCCGTGGAATAGCCAGCACGATGAAAATGAACCTCGCTGATGTCATCATCCTCAACTTTGCGTATGAATTTACTGCGTACGTAAAGTTCCAAGTCTGTTCATGTGGTTGTGAGTACGTCCAGGTGTCAGATGTTCACAAAGTCGAAGCAGGAATGGAAGCAACACGTCAGAAGGTTTATGAGGTTCATCCACCGTCTCCATCCACAGTTACTGCACAAGCATCGTGGCTCAGGACGGGAACGGGAACATCTACCATGGCAGGAATTTTGATTTTCCACATCCAGTTCTGAGGAATCTAACCATGAATGTTGTCTTCTTCAAAAACGGGGAGGTATGATCTTCGTTTATACTCATTAAGCAACAGAACTGTAGAAGGAGAGCCATGTTGATCATAAAGTAATCTTCTGATTTTGAGTTACCACATTGTCAGGATCATATCAGCATTCAAAATACTGAAGTGGTGGCTTAGCTTTTCAGGAAGGTACTGAAAAGTCACAACCCCAGGTTTACCGGATCCGGTGGTGGCAACATAAAATGTGTACGGAGAAAAAAAAAATTGGAGTTGAAAAGTGTTTTATCTCAAAGAAAAGATTTTTCAAACAAGCAAGTCAGAGAGTACGCTTCAACCCAATTAACTGTCAAACAAACTTGGCTTTGCAAAAAACCAAAAGTAGGTCAGGTGCAGCCTCAACAACTAAATACTCACTTTATTACACTTTATTAAATTGTGCCTTTCTTTATTGACATTATTGACCAAAGTCTTAAAGGCTAATGTTATCTTAACTGGCTTTCTAGTGTGGAACAATGGCAGCAACACACTCAACTGACATTGACATTATTATGCATTGTTTCTTATTGTTTCTATGTTCAGTGATGTCAGTGAGTCATGGTGGCCTGTGAAAAATGTCGAGGCTCCTGCTAGTATCTTCTCTCACCAACAAACTTAGTCACAACTTTTGTTTGCTGACTCAGCAGCATTAAACTAGCATGTGGGTTAAAGAAATAACTCAGATATTTTTGTGTATAAAAATGAGTAGCTTGTTAGTCATTTTTGTGAATGATAAAATTGTCTGTTTGTTTCGAAGTTAGCTCCTCTCCCTTCAAATGATTACTATAACTTTTTAGCAAGTGGTATCTCTGTGGTAAACCCAGACAAATTACCCAACTGTTAATTCTTCCACCAAAAACCTGGAGCTGAATGAGTGACACACAGTAAAACATATTTGTACGGGTGTTAAGTTATAGCTAGTGAACTGAAATGCCTGTGTGATTATTTTGTTGCATGCAACTTTCTAGCCAGCATACTTTGGAACGTCATTAGCCGGTTATGTGGGGCTATGGACCGGGATGAGTCCATACAAGTTCACTGTGTCTGGCAACCAGCGAGGTAAGACTGCTGACAATCACCGCGTTTCCATTTCAAACGTGTGTGAATCTTTTCTGCTGCTGTTGAAAAAGCATAGCGACACTGCAATTTTGCATTTGCTGTGTTTCCATTAAATAAGAATTGAAATCAAAACCACATAAATAAGCTCCTTCAGTTGGTAAGTCGTGGAATGGTTCCATTAAATACATGGTATTCATAATTCAGCTATGGCGCTAGTGCTCATCAAGACGTTGTCTTACTCAGGCGTTGCACTCACAGACTCCCTATACTTGGGAGCGGCAACATATGTGGCGTTTTGGGGAAAATGTAGCCTGCGAATTTACAGAAGTGCTCTGGGTTCAGCATGATCGTATGACGTGCAACTTTTTATGAGCTTTGCGGTTCTGTGAGAGCTCTGGTGGAGCCAGTTGCACATTGTCTGAAAAAAGAAAAAAAAAAAGAATCATCCTCTGACTACTACCGGTCGTTGCTTTCGACATTTCATCAGTATCATCATCCGGCTTTTGATCCCGTGATCAAAACCCGGACGCTAAGTAACTTAAAAAAACCGAAGAGAAAGGTTTTAGTGTCAACATTGTAAATGACTAGTTAACCTTCTTTTTTGCATTTTACTGGAAATTAGATGAGAATTTGGTAATTAGCACACAAATCCCCCCAAAAATAAATACATAACATTTTTTAACTAGTGATGCGAAAATATTGTCTCCACTGTAGTTTTGTAAAATTCATCCATTTCATTTAATATGGCTGAAAAAAAGCCTCGTCATGTAACAAAAAACATTATTTTTTTCATTTTTTAAAATTGCCCTGTTTCCATTAAGCATACTTCATAACTTTAATATAGCTAATTGTCAACGCATATACTGTTGACACCGTCTTTTCGTCCCTAAACTACTTTGTCATTCCTAAGAAACCCAGGTTTGGTTAAGGTGGTGGAAGAATGTTGTGTCTGCCATCTTTAGCCACAGTTTCCCGGTCAGCTGGCTTGTTAGGGTGGTGAGTAAATTGCAGAATATTGCCGGATAATAAAAGCGACATGACATCACGTTGAAATCAAATTGTTGGTGTGGTACTCACGCAGACCCTGGAGGAGGCCAAAGACTTTGAGGACGCAGTGACGCGTCTGTCGACGACCCCCCTCATCACCGGGGTGTACTACATCGTGGGTGGGGTGCGGGCAGCAGAGGGGGTCATCATCACCAGAGATCAAAAGGGCCCCGTTGACATCTGGGCCCTGGAGCCTTTAAATGGAGAGTAAGGAGAGTCTGGTGAGAGTCGGTACACCAGTGAAGCAACATGTAACCCTTCCTCGTTTGCTTAGATGGTACAGAGTGCAGACCAACTTTGACCACTGGCTTCCTCCTCCTGAAAACATCAATCGAAGGTTAGTTACCTCACAGAGTGATGACACATCCATAATGTTTGGTTTCTGTTACTACACTGCTGTCATGTGATCACTTATTAGGGATGTAGTCATGAAGAAACTGGATGCCGTGGGCCAAAATCGCATACGTATGGATAAACTTTACCAGGCAAGTAGTGAGGAGGTCATGCGAGTCACAGCTCATTTTATGAATATGAGGATTAATATAATGATGGAGTGCTTTCCTCCAGGTTCTGTCTCTGTCTCGTGTGTGCCTCAGGTGAGGGTGAAATTATTATTGTCTTATTCCCGTCGTCTTTTGTTGCCCAGCAGTTGTTGTTGCTAAAATGGTGAAGAACCACACAGACCAGCAACGGCCATCAGCCTCTGCAGGAATGTTTGTGCCTCGATTTTGTCACAATATAATCACAACATTCATTTCTCTATTAACAGAATTGTTCTGACGTTTGAATGAAAAGCAGTGAATTGAAAACAGGTGAATGCTAGTCATGCAATCCACAAATCTATGGAAATAGTGGAAAAAAGAGAGCTGTACCTCAGAAGACTGAATTGCAATAAAAAGTGATTTTACATTCAACTTATTTTGGTTGAATGTGAATGCACTCTGCATTTGTCATAACACATCTGTAAATAAAACCTGAAACCTGCAATACTTTGTGCTGATATTGCCTGGAATCTTAATAGAAAACCTTTAAGTTTGTGTTTGTGATATGAAAAACCAGTAAAAATGTTTAAGACGTACACATACCCGTGTTTCAGGCACATTTTAATGAGTATAAATATTAAAATCTGACAGTATATCTATATTTTCTTTATCAAACCATCAGAACTACAATCTACACAACAGTCATGAGTGCAGCAACCCCCGGGGAGTACACTGCAGTTCTCCACCAGAAGGTATTGCAATTACATCTGAAATGTTATTGAAAATGGTTGGCATTATTCCACACTACTATTTTTTCTCTCTCTCTAAAGGGCTGCACGAAGAAGATCATGTGAAGTGGTCAAAAAGGAGCAGGGACTAATGAGTGAATGTTTGAGAACATAATCAATACAACTCTTACAAGACATCTGGCTTCATCCCAAAATAAAAGATCAATTAAAAAAAGAACGGAGTAAAAAAAAGATGTGAATGTTGTGGTTTCTTTCTACTTTTCCAATTTGGCATGAATATGTTTAATTTTAAAAAATTCGTTACCACCAGAAGATGGCAGTATCGAGGCGCGGTTTGGTAAGAACGTGAGGAGAAGAAGAAGCGGGAGTGGACGCCTGTCTGTGGGTCACATGATATGACAAAGCAGTAGTTAGCGGCTTTCTTCCAGACGGCAACAGACTGCGGTTACTGACTCCTCCGAGATGCTGGCCCTCATTAACAGACTGTTAGACTGGTTCCGGTCGCTGTTTTGGAAGGAAGAGATGGAGCTCACGTTAGTCGGACTTCAGTACTCTGGAAAAACCACATTTGTCAACGTGATAGCTGTAAGTAGCCAGCGTTAGCGAAGACGCGTAAAGTGGGCCCAGGCTACTACCTGGGAGAGGGCGAAGGTGTCTGTCAAACATTACAGCCTTTTCTTTTGCAACTTCTCGGACGGGGAAGAAAAGGGAACATATTTGCAAAAAATAAAAAATAAAATAAACATCCTTTTGGTAGTGTTTGGGTGAGAAAGTGCAGGAGGAATAACTCTCTGAAACAGCTGGTGTTGGAGAATGACGAAGTTCTCGGTGTGACTGTGTGCTTACTAATACACCGGGTCATGTGACCGCGCTGTCACGGCTTTGTAGCGGCTCCCAGTGTTTCCACAACACCGGTCTGGGCTCATGGCTGGAAACAGGCTGTTCATGTTTTCTGACGACGACGACCGTAAGTTTTTAGGTTCCTCTTGGACCTGTGGAGAAAAACAAGAAGTCTCTGTGCTCATTTAGTGCCTGGTGTTTTGTGAGTTTTCGTTCGCACATGTTTCTGTCCTCCAGTGCAGTTGGACTTGTTTAGTAGTCCTTTGGAATTACAGAAAAGGCTGGACGAGTTTGAAGAAATGATGTGAGGCAATAGTCACGTAATTCCAGGTTATTCGGCTTCTTAGGTGCACCAACCAGACTTTCCTGCAAAACGAATCAAAAATAATGTAACATATTCCCTGTCACCTATTAAAAAAAAACAAAAAACATGTAATTGTCAGTTCCCCCACCCCTCCACATGTCTCTGACGTCACACCAGGCAGCTGATCAGAGTTGTTTTCAGTACTTTATGCGTCAGTACTATTTGTTGAATTGTTGTGGTTTCCAATTGGATTACTTTTAGGCTTCTATTCAAATGGATCCCTCATAAATGTTTACTGCATTGTCATAGCGGGGCTATTTTGACCCAATCTGCTGATTAAACTCTTTTCTCAAATTGTACTGTCAAGTTTTATTGGCTGAAAACAAAACAAAAAATATTAGATTTTTAGGCCAATTAGCATTATGACAGGCTACCAAGGTTCTAAAGTTTCTTAACCTTTGGATTAGTGCACTGCCTACCAGCTGCCTGAAAGAATGCTAATAATACACTTTTTCTTTTGCTTATGAGAAAGGAGAAAAATGTAAAAAATATTTCTGATTGCAAAAAAAAAAGAAGAAAAAAAAAACCTAGACAGGGAAATGTGTGGAAACTACACACTCATCACAAAGGTAGCTACTGGCTGCATGTTAAGTAGTTGAGTGCAGGCTAGCGACCGGAACCGATTCATAATTATCCATCCAACACCAGCTTATTAGACTTGTCACTGTATGAAGAGAAGACATCAAAAATCTTTAATATCAAAAATCTTTAATATTTGGTGCAATAAGCTTTAAAAGTATTATTGCATTTATTTATGATTAGCAGCTGCAGTTTTCTTATTTTTGGCAGATTGTCTGATGCTTACATGGGGAACAATGAGTTTTCAGAAAAAAATATCTGTCTGCCAAAATTACAATGTTCATTTTTTTTCTGAAAATCTGTAATCGGTGCACCTCTAATTATAATTGTAATGGTAAAAATTAATAGTTGATTCTACTTTAGCAACATCAAGAATAATTATTGCTTTTCCGATTGGAGGGGGTCATAATTCTCTTCACATTGTGCATATCAATGCTATCCTGGCTCATTTGGTTTGTAGCCTGAACCTGTTTAAATTGGCACTGGTTTATCCAGTTCACTTAATACCTCAAAAACATATTCATAAGTGAGTAAAATGACGCGAGTCTGTTTTTAGAACTACTTTTCCCTGCAGCGTTGGGTCAGTTTGACAACAATACTTGTCTTACATTTTCTCTGCTGGCCTCAGACTTTCTGAGCTGTTTCTACCACAAGACAAAAAGACGGTCTCTGCTTAAAGCTCGCTCTATGAAAACGTACAGACGACGAAGACGTGTCGCGAAACGTTAAAAATATAGATTATTTTTCTCCTCACTCAGTCCAGCATACTCACTGGGTTTTAGTCAAGCGTCTGTTTTTGTAACTTCTATATCTGCTTAAACCAGAATGTACAGACACCAAACGTTGAGGAAGCATTCCTTTCCCAGACCGCACAATGACATCACACCAGCCGTCATATCAGGGTGATTAACGGAGGTAAAACGTTTCCCAAAGCAGTCAGGAGAAATTATGTCCATCGATTAGAACCTATTACTGATCTAATTTATATCCACAATCCTGCTCACTCATAGATTTTAGATCAAATGACACCATGACGACTTGCTCAGAGATGCAAGTCATCCACTTTTTCTCTAACATAATCTCTCTCTCTCTCTCTCTCTCTCTTTCTTGTTTGCAGTCGGGGCAGTTCAGTGAAGACATGATTCCCACAGTCGGTTTCAACATGCGTAAAGTCACTAAAGGCAACGTAACAATAAAGGTAATTCTGACTGCAAAAGAAAAGAAGATTGGCCCCAGAAAACAAGGGGCCAATTTCTGTTTTCCTAAAGCTTTGGGCTGTTGCTTTGAAGTTACAAATATGAAACAAATTCTACTGTGAGCACAATAATAAACTAAATGTGCTGTGTTTTAATAAAGCACAAGAAAGCAGTCCAATTGTAGGTGAGGATATGAGTCTCACCAAATTGGGGCCCCTTTCTCAGCTTCAGCGTAAAAGTGACTGGATGTTTTGGACTGGTTTGCAATGAGATTAAAAGACAACAAAAGGGGTAAATAGGAGTTTTCTGTAGCCCATTAATAATAAATCAATCACTGGTAATCACTTGAAAATTAGGCCTACCTCAATGATTTTCATTTGCATGATTTGTTGTTTTTCTCTCTTTCTCACCTTTTACCAAAAACTGGATGACAAAAGTCTTCATTCTGGTGCTTTGGTCTCAGCTGGCTGGCTCGCTTTTGTTTACAGACGCTTCATAATTCATTTGAACTGTTTCTGTTATTTATTTAGGATATTTTCCAGTTCCGGTGTTGCATGTTGATTAGAATTGAACATTTGATTTTTGAGAATGTATTCTTGTATTATTTTCAATAATATAGTTTGAAGCTCACAAGGTTAAAATGAAGCAACTTTACTGGAATATGTTCAGCCTTCCTGTTAGTCACCCACAATCTCGATTTCTTAATCTACTCCTGAATGTACAACAAAAAACTGTTTTGTTTTGTTTAAATACATTCTTACTTCTCTGCTGTTCCTCTGACTTTGTTGATAGTTTACCCGTTCACTGACTGGAACAATGTGTTTTTATTTGAGATTCTGACCAGCGGGTTACCGATCCGTCTCAGTGAAGCTGAAAATTGTGAGATTCTGGATATAACAAGAATTCTCAGGATGCCTCCAGATGGCCTCCAACATACCAAGCAGCAATTGGCTCATAAATAGCTAATGTTTGGTGTTGACTTTGTGCTCTGATGTTTCAGATATGGGACATAGGTGGACAGCCCCGCTTCAGGAGCATGTGGGAGCGCTACTGTCGAGGAGTCAACGCTATCGTGTAAGCTGCCGCTGTTCTGCTAGAACGCCAGGCAAAGGTTCGACATGAGCATTTCATAATGTCTCCGTTTTATTCCTCCAGTTACATGGTGGATGCAGCAGACAGAGAGAAAATAGAAGGTTCCAGAAATGAATTACACAACCTTTTAGAGAAACCACAACTACAAGGAATTCCTGTGAGAAATGTCTTATCTTCGGAGTAAAACATGACGTTAGCTTTATCACAAAGGGGTTCTGATAAAACTTCCTTTTCCTTTCTCCAGGTTTTAGTCCTGGGTAACAAGCGGGACTTACCCAACGCACTTGATGAGAAGCAGCTCATTGAAAAAATGTGAGGAATGCTTATTTTACTTAGTTTCTGTGGCTCTAAAGAACTAAAACTCAATAGCATGTCAAGTGTTGTGTTCTAAAGTTAATGTCTGTCTGTTCTTTTGCTTTCATGTTGACTCCTAATTAAACGTACCGTCCTGATCTACGCAGGAACCTTTCTGCCATTCAGGACCGGGAGATCTGCTGCTACTCTGTGTCCTGCAAAGAGAAAGACAACATAGGTAAATATCAGAGGGATGTTTGTCTGGTCAAAGTTGAAAGCCAGACGTGAATCTTAACGTTCAGTTGTGTTGGTCAGTGGGCCTACAGATAAAATGTCATTGTTTTGTAGGGTTGCACTGACTGCAGTTTTTGGCCGACTTTTGAATTTACTCAAAAAGTGTTTGCTTATATATATTTTCTGCAGTTTAGTTGTTTGTCTTTACGTATCTAAAGATTAAATTAGATGTAGTCTAAATGTGTCCCAATAACATTTCTGTCCATAAATAGTCATGGGGATGAAGCAATAAAGAAATCATTTTTGAGTGGTTTGCACCAATCTTTTTTTTTTTTTTTTTGGCAGATTCTGATTCCAACCAGTACCGATTTTTATTTATCTTTGGGTTACCTTTATTTTGCTTGAAGTTTTTGTTTATAAAGCCTTTCTTGACCTAGTTTTTGCAGGTTGGTTTATATTTATAATAAGGGTGTACTGTTAAATCTGTCCCAATTTGCTTAAGTTTGGGAAATCATTGATTTCTTGACATTTTCATATGAAATCAAAACATTTTTATTTTTAAAGATCAGAAAACTGCAGTCGGTACACCCCTAATTTGTTTTTTTTTTTTTGTTTTCTACATTGTCATGTTTCTATGAAGCAAATTTTGTTTCCATAATTCCAATTTGCACAATTTTAAGACTCAAAAGAAACGCAGCTATTGACTCAAAGCATTGTCTTCTCTTAGTAATGCCAATAACTAAACCATCGATATGTTTTCCTTTCACCTCAGATATCACACTGCAGTGGCTCATCCAGCATTCAAAGTCACGAAGAAGCTGAAAATGCAATCTGGCTGCCCTCCTCCCCCACCCAAACACCACCTCTGCCCTGTCGCAGCGCTGGCCTTGGCCCCACCACACCACACCCTTCAGTCTGGGGTTCTCAACAGTCACCCTTTGCACTGCCTCTGTGAAGTAGTCCAGCTGTCTTTGCTCACTACCGCCCCCTTGTACACTACCGTAGATGTGTATCTTTCTGTACAGCACTAACCCATCCCCCCCCACCAACCTCTATCTGATAGACCTTGTCAGAAGTTTTCTTCCTCTCATTAATGATGTCCAGGAAGCTAAAGGTATTACAACGTGCTGTTCCCTCCACTCCCAAACACCAACCGCCTATTCTGTTCCTCATCAACATTCAGTGCGTACGCGGCATCTAGTGATTGTATCTTTGAGCAGTTATTTGCCAAAACGACAACGGTTGCTTCTGCCTATTCCTTTTGTCTTTTTTTTTTTTTTTGAAATCCAAATCTTTTGCGACATTGCAAAAGCATTCTTCATTTGCTTGGCATTTGAAAGCGTCTCCTGCTCGGGTGTCTTAAATTCAAGTTTACACGTAACTTTTAAATCTCGTTAAAAGGTTAAGAGTTTTCGGTGTGCAAGATTTCCTGAGCCAAATTTTAAGTGCCTTTGACTGCGAAAAGTGTCCCAATCAGATGGTTAGTATCCCTGGATGACTCCTATCTTAACAGCACCAATAGACAATCTTGTTTTAAGCTCCCCATAAATCAAGTAAGCGCGTCAACGATGTCTGACGACAAAGAACGGAGAAGATGCTACTCTTCTCATGCTAGCCAGGGCGTCCGGAAGCCTTTTTGAGTTATGTCTGCAGCGTGGAAAGCTGGGACAGATTGATAGGGGTGTTTTTACGCAAAGAGTCGGACCGCGGCGCAAGTCCAATCAGATGTCTCTCTCGAGGTGAGTTTTAAACGTACGGTCTGGTAACAGCCAGTGTTACAGCGAGGTTATCCCTCATTTGAGTCACTTCTGTTCTGATTAAATATTTCCCATTTACACGGGTTTGCTTTTTATTAACAAGACTAATCGGTCGAATCACTAACGTCCTGGTTGATGTATCTTCATCAGTTTTCTTCTTTTCCTCATTACGTTCAAGTCTCTGGAATCATGCCACTGAAGCCACGCCCACATCACTCTCTATCTAGTCCATGCGTCGATTGTCGGGACCACAGCAGCAGTGAGGGAGGGGGAGCTGTTCGTTTGGCTTATCTTGCAGAAAGCTTTTTTGTTACCTGTGAAATAAATATAACCTATTTGCATTATTTGTACCTGCATGTGCTGGGCTTGCTCACACTCATTGGTAGACTTTGTAAATAAGATGTTAGCATTTTCATTCAAATAAATGCTCCTGTAGATGTCATGCATTATCTCCCTGTGATTGCCAATAAATTTTGTTTTTATTTATAAGGATTTCCAACCTGTGCTGTCTTTTGTGAAAGCTTCATTTTGCTGTTTCGCCACTAGATGGCAGCAGAGGGCTTTGGCGCAGAATGGTGAGGCAGGCCATGAAGCCAATGTGGAATATTTTTGAAAGTGATTTTGAAGAAAAATGAAAGCAGTTGCTGAAAGGGCGTGGTTTGTTTGAAGAGAATAGCGTTACACGAACATTTTCTGCTGCATCACTGATGAGTTCTTCCACATCCATTTCTCAATTTCTGTCCGGTTCTAACTATTCACTGCAACACATTGAACCATGTTTTACCTGTAATTTTTACTCGCTGTTCAAATGCAGAATACTCTTTTTTTTGCTTTGACAGAAAAGTCGTCTGCTTGTAATGTCCGTCACATATCAGGGTGTCAAGGAAAATGCCAAAAACACACAAGATTCTTTTTTCTTTTCCTATATATATATATTTTTTTTTTCATAAATTTCTTAACTCGATTTTCAGATTTTTTGTCTCCATTTTTTAAAAATAAATTTTTACATTTTTTTAAATAAATTTTTTGCGTGCCCTTTTAATGTAGCAACTGATAAAAATTGCAGAGTAATTAGTTTTTTTTTGTAATAATCAAAAAGTCGCGCGTAATTGCACAGTGCAAGAAAATGAACTCGAGCTTGATTTGAGACAAATGACTATTGTTTTGATCTGCATTTTAATTATTATTTTAATAATCTGAATTTGACCAATAAAAATCTCCTTTGGTCTGTCCAGATTTTCTTTATTTGGATCTCAAACATACTTTCGTTTACATATTGATTCTACTGGTACCTTTGTAATGTTTTTTTGTTTGTTTGTTCTTAAGAAATGCACTACCTTGAAAAAAGAGAATGGAGGTCCAAATTTAAAAAAAAAAAAATTACATGCAATTCAATTACCAATAAGTTTGTGAAAACTTCGTTTGTTGATGTTTAACATGACAATTTGATCAATTTAATTTATTCTATAAACTTTTATACTGATCGTAAATGACATCCTGAAACAAACCGTTAAATTAATTACCGGTAGACTATTTCAAAAGCCAACTTATTCCTATACTTTATTTAGATGTGTCAATGTTACACAGGCTAAGTGCACATTTAAAATTTTGATTTGTTAAAAAATGTTTTGTGTTTGATTGTTGCCCTATTTCACAGAAACTCAATGTTTTGTGACGATCTATCCCATTAAATACCAATGATTTCAAATGCAGAGAAGTTCCAGGCGTGTGGACACCGAACAAGCAGAAACCCCCATCCAAACACATAGTGGTTTATTGTAGAAAAAAATAAATAAATAAATAAAAAATGCAGCAATGTTCGCAAGCGTGTTTTCCCACTGGGGGCCAATAACTAGAGTCCTCTCCAGGTGGTGCAGACCTTTGTTGGTCCAACAGGAACCAACAGAGTTGGTTATTAATCTCATTTCTTAAACACGGCGTCAAATGAACACCTGCAGGCATTGGTTGTATCCGTGTTGATAGGTGGAAGGTGTGGACAGACGTGGGTGTTGCCTGAAGAAACCCACGAATCATCACAAAACGCGGCATCGCTCCAGAATTATTACTGGCTCCTTTAACGTGGCTCACAGCTAGAGGAAAAAGCCTATAGACTGAACAGTACTTGGAGTCGTAATCAGAGAAGAGGTCATAGAGGTGACCTAAAGGTGTGACATATAGTTTCATTCATTGTGTAATGATACATGTACTAGTTGACTACATAATGAGCCATCACCAAAATGACAAGATTCCTCCTGAAAGTGGAGCATTCGGTGCTCCATCAGAGATGATCTTTCTCTTTGATGAATCTTCTCTGTCAAATTATTATTGATGGATGTGCTGAAAAGGGTGTAGCTTAGCTGTCAACAAGTCTGTTCTCAGCAGTATAATCAGAAACATCAACCCCACCTGACCAATAGCTCTTAGACAGTAACAAATATTGGCCTGTCTAAAGTCAGACTTGTGTTTTTAAAATCAGCAGTAAAGTCAGAAGCCATGAAGACTGAATCAGATTCATCTTTATCCTTAGTAGCACAATCTCATTTTCTTATTGTGCTTACAATGTGCAGCCACAGGGGTGTGCCCACTCCAAAATGACTAGGCCTGGAAATAAGCAAGAGAAAACTAACAGCCTTTTGTTATTTTGGAGCGTATGTGGCATCCCAAAGGCTATGCCACCCTGGGTGGAGAGCCAACTGGCGTTCAGTTTGGTGAAAGAAGCCCAACTTGACAAATCTGCTTAAACGAGAACCATAAAACTTAAAAAGAAAAGCCTTCCATAATTTCTTTTCAATCACTCACCACGTTGTTAATTATCAAAAGCGTGCGCCTGCAGTGTTGACTGAACTGCTAAAGGCAGGCTAAAGCACTTCCACTTCCTTCCTCTCCCTCCCCACTTGGCTGTGTCACCATAAACAGTTTTTACTTCTTCCAGACATGCCTGCAATAATATTTACCTCCAGCATTAAGACTTTCAGCTTGAAGTGTTTACACTGCACATTCGTAACACAGCTACGCAGCATTTTTACTGGATACCAATAAGACAAGAACATGCATCTTGCGATTGCGTAGGTGCAGGTTTAAAAATCCTGATGACAAGACGATAAATGCGGCGGCTGCTGTTGAAGAATCGGTCTCGATACGTCTTATTTTGTTCTCACAAAACAAAAACGCACGTGTTTGTTTTTCTCTGCTTTTAAAAAGTGTTTAATGCATAGAAACCATTCAATTCCAAAATACTTTATTACCGGTAATACTCAAGAGAAATCTAAATCTTTAGGTCTCTAAACTTTTAGTTTAGAGTTAAACTAAAAGTTGAACTAAATAGCTAAATTTGAACCAGAAATTAGTCAATTTCCGTTAAATAAACCAAAAGAGCCCTTCAGTACAAAAAGGAATCCAGTGTCACTGATATCATATATGTGCAGCTTGTTTTCTTACAATGCCTATGTTATATTCCAGTACTCAACTAGAACACCTTTCGAAATTGAATTTCCTACTGGGTAACTGGGAGGGACTCTGACTACCACAAGTTATGACTTAGATGGGAGACTTCACATTTCAATATGGCCGCTCCTCGCATCAATAGTAAGATGTGGTGGAAACATATTTATTCTTCAAGACACGCATGTAAAAGTGCTTCTAAAATTCAATGTTACATGTAAAGTCACCAACTAAATTAAAAGTGGTGTTTGCTTATGGAAAGTAAAGCTTAAAATGACGTTTAAAAAGGGTTTGGAAATGATATCTACGGGCTTCGCCGTGTTGAAATTCCGACTTCTTAACTAGAATAACTGGCAACTTTGGGTTTGACGTCAGCATAACTCTGTATCAGCCCATGCAAATAAGAAATAAAACACACTGTGGTCCCACTTGTGCCAACCCCTGATCGAATGCCGCCCTGGGCATTCCAGTCGTTGAGCCACTTTGACCACATTAATAAACATCGCATACTTCATGAGACTTTAAAATCCAAATTTAATAAGTGATTTTTTTCCCGTTCATTTATCCAGAGATCTAAAACCCCCCCTTTTTTATGACAGAAACTAATGTTACTCAGAGTTGTTAAAAGTGCAGATTTAACCCGGCTAGATGTTTTGGAGAACTGGGATTGACAGGCATCTGCAAGCACTTCATTCAGTTCCCCTGCGCAGACCTTAATTTGGCACTAATCGCCGTGCGGAATGTCACATGATTCATTCGTGGCCGCATGGCACATATCATCATTCCTCAGCGCTCTACACCCTGTTAAAGACAGATGGTTACAAGTAAACACACCCTGTAATAATCCAGTATAACGGGGCTCTGTGGACATCGTCCCTCCACCTTGCAGCTTTATGGCGGTCATTAACTGCCGTTTATGATATTGAGTAAAATGAGTTCTTGATTTGACCATGTTTAAGGTTAGCATTGTTAAAAACGTTTATGTTTGGACTTTGATTTTGGAACGAAGTGGCAGCCATTGTGGATTGACAATCCAAAATTGATAAAACAATTTGACTTTAATTAAAGATAGTATGTAAAAAAAAAAAAAAGAAATCCTATATTTTTCACCCAAAAAAAGTGGACATTAATAATCAATCTTTATAATTCATCATGTCTACAAAATATGAGTTTTGTAGAGATTTGCATTATATGTACCTGCTTTTCCCATCACCCAGTTGAGTCAAAACTAGTGGAATTCACCCATTGGTGCAGTGATCAGGCTAACTACTATGTTTAAAAGCAAGATAGATAATCTTGTTATGCTTTGCAAGTAAACATTGGCCAACAAAGAAGTATGGAATTATAAATGTGTGTGATTTAAAGTTACAATAAGCTATGGAAGAGATCAATGCAATGTTAATACTATGCAGCTAGTGATACAGGAAAAAAACCCCTTTCTGGCAGTTCTTTTAACTGACTTTCTAATTTTTCAAAGTTTTGGTTTTGTCTTGTTTATGTTTGGGCAATCAGACGGGCAACCCCGAAATGGCTAAGCGCGTTTCAAATCGAAAATCGAAAAGCCAACGTCTTCCGAAGGGATTCTGTTTTCGAGGCCGCTGCTGTTCGCCGAGACGCAGAACAAGTAAAGTTATTTCCGCCCGGCTGTAATCCGCAACTTTCTCCTCTCTCCTGTGATTGTGGGAGTGCAGAAAAGCTGCTGAGACCTCCAAAATGCAATGTTTCCATTCCCACTGGGTGAGAATAATCTTACAGGCCCACTCTGTTATCCGGTGGCCCCTCAGATAGTTGGCTCCCGTGTGAACGCTTTCACAACTCTCACCTACCCGGTGCGGCTCTCCTCCTCGGATTCCATTAAAAAAAAAATCAAAACTTTAGCTCCTGGGGTTCTGATCAAATAGAGTAGTTATTAAATTTTTTTCCTGCATTTTGATTCCCTCCCCCCACCCATGTGCCTCATATTTACATATAGATTGGGTATTTATCAGTCTGCATTTTACAGCAGATTCACTGAAGTCCTCTTTATTAAACCATGATGGATTTATGTATTTTTAATGAAGAGTTGATGTCGAGGGTGTAATTCTTTGAACAAGGGAGTGTACATGCGATGTGAGCTGAATAATAAAGCATGTGCACTACTGAACTTCAAACTTTAGTGAAAATCTTTGGGGTGTGCGCCATTATCATTTGCACCTCTGTTTTAAGTGGTTACATATGAACATGTTCTCTTTAGGAATCCAAAGCATTAACCATCACTATCTTTATCCCGCTGTCAGTGGAGATACGCTATAATAGGTGTTTGTAGCGCACGCAGGGCAGTTTCAGTTCAAGTCTTAATGGGGTCATTGGCCATGTTAACTGCCAAAAACATTCCTTCGCAGTGAAAAGATAACAGGTCTTGTCTTTTTACGCTTCTTCGGCTGTATTTATAACTTTAACTGTGTCGTTCTAAGCAGGAGAGGAGACAAATGATCTCACCACGGAGCCCAGTTGCGAACCTCAGGTCTTCAGAGACGGACAGGAAGCTAGCGGGGTGGAAGCTAACGGTCAAAAGCGCATGCGCGTCTCAAGGACGCGTTGAAATCCCAGCGCCACCCAGTGGCCTGACGTGACAATTACAGGAGATTCATGATGGCTGCCTCGTCAAAACGTGAAACTTTTCCACAACCAATATCCGAAAATGCTGGTTGGTTCCGCCTTAGGATAACTGAACACAGCGACTCTTGGATCCATATAATTGGATGAAAAGGATGCTTTGCATCTGCCTCTTGGTTACTTAAGCAAGCGTCAATCAAACAAGGCACATCTTGCTATACATTTGAAATATCAATAAATATTCAATAGTTTCGTTTTGCACCCAAGGTAAGGCTCCTCAATTATGAAAAAAATTAAATAAAAATCACAATCACAAAAATGTCAGTCCTTAAATTGACAAATGCAAATTTAGTTTCAAAGCATATTGTAGTAAACAACAAAGCAGTCCATTTGCAGATTAGTATGTGGGGGAAATAATTGTAATACTAATTATTTGTATTTGTTTTGTTTTAGTAATTGTTTGGAGCCAAAATCAAAACTGAAAAACACATTTGATCAGTTTCTTGGGTAATTTAAATTTACAAGTAACATTCATTTGCAATTATTAATTAAGGGAAACAATTCTACGATTCAGGTTATTTAGTGTAGAAGATTGCATTTTTGAAACATGGCCAATCTGACATTGAAAGCCTTTCTAAATTGTAATGTTAAAAAAATTGCACTAAATTCAAAATGGTCCCTCGTATTTGTGTTGTAGATGGACCTGAATGAGGACTTTGTGGCAGAAAACAATTTAAAATCGACCCACCTTTGTCACTAATATTGGGGAATTGACATAGCTTGAGTTCCAGGGCTCTAAGACAGTGGTCTCACATTACTGCAACCTTTAGGTTTCTCTTTGCTTCAGCACACCTGGCTCCAGTTATTAGCAGAGCTCTGAAGAGCTTGACTGCCTGCTAGAGAGACATGGTTTGGTCTTTGAAATCAAGTGTAGGACAAGGGACACATCTGAAAGTTGCAGGTCACTGGCCCTTGAGGACAGCAGTTTGAGATTACTGCTCTCAGATATGTGCCATTCAGTTCTAAAATGGGCTAATGCGATCTAGAGTATTAGAAGACTACTTCTGATATTCCGAGTGTGTGACGTACATATTCGCATGTACGTCACACAGCGGAGGTCGAGGTTAAAGTGGACATTCGCTGGACACATCTGCATGAAGGCAAGTGGCTTATATGCCACGACTAATGGTGACTAATGGTGAAATTTAAAAATTTACAAAATTTCAGTTGCATACTTTTTCTTGTTGTCACCTAGTAACCTGCTCAGCAGGAAACAGTGTTCACATTGAACTGTTTTGTGTCCGACGTTGAGCTGATAAGCTCGAGAGTCTGTGCAAACAGTCTTAAGGACGCGCAGTAGCTAGACCGCCACTTGTGCCGCATAAACAGGTGTACGGTGGCTGACACTGTGTCACTTGCAAAAGAAACTGCATGAGGTGCCCAACTAGTTTATTGAACTTGCTAGCTTCCATTTGGATTGTGGGAAATGACAGCATTTGTCACAAGAATTGAATGCAAAAGGTAAACTGAACTATGACATCTCAACCGTCCACAGACAATGCGTGCATAGTCAGTGCGGCTCACAGAGCACGCACAGCAGACCTGAGTGTGTAGGAACCTTAAGAGTTTTCTACTGATTTTGGTATCTGTTTTCATGTAGTCTGCCATCTACTTTGAAGAGGCATGTGAACCCTGACGGCCCACAATGACCAGAGTCTGTAGCATCTGGACAATCCAAAACGAAAACTGGACCACTCCCCTTACATCCGTGGTTCAGTGTGTAATAATAAATTTTTTATGACTGTTTGAGTATTTCTGGCTAATTTCCAATCTCAAATTTAGCAATATTGAAACCGATATTAGCCAATTTCGAGGAATGCTTGTTGCAGGGTGTTAACAACTCAGCACCTCACTAATGCACATATTTTTTGAATAACGTTTCCCGCAAAACTTTTCTTCACATTGAACTTCTCGCCTGCACGGCTAGAGAACGTTATTAGCTCCTTTTTGTTACCTTGCAGCATCAGGTATGAGTGTGTTAAAAGAATTATGAAAGGGCCATGTGAGTCCTTTTATTCTTCTGTCACCATAGTTTCAGACTGACAATGGCTGAAAGCCTCAAGGTTATGAATGAGCTTCTGATAGGATAAATGGTGCAACACAAGCTGGAATGTAGGAGAAAAATGATTGTGTCAAAATAGTGGAAGAAGAACTGGGGAAAAAAGATTTTACTGTAATTTCTTCTGTTTGTTCTGAGCTGTTATAGTAAATCAGATAGAATCGGTTTTGTTCAATACTTAATACTCAAATAAATGTACAATATTTCCTTTAGGGCTCTCTCTAAACACTTATTCCGGCTCCCTGAACGAGCTAAAGCACATGCCTGCCGCCTGTCCATAAACAAAAAAGGGCCTTGATGAGACTTTGGACTCAGTTCAAGGAGTCAGACAGATGCTCCTTCAGACCAGATGAAGTGGAAAAGCGGTGACAGCTGGATACGGACCAGGTAAGCTGCCTTTGATATCAGCACAGTCATTGGGCTGCAGGTACAGTTTTCAGACAGCATCAGGCTGCAGGTTGAGGAGTCTTCATCTCTGTCTGATCCCCTGCCAGGGCAACTCTCCCACAGCCCAATTGACACAAGGTGATTGAATATTCATTACAGTTTCATGCCTGGGCAGCAGTGCTAGATTTAGTGAAGAGGCCTCTGCATCAAGAGTCAGCCTCTCTTGATGTCCCTAGATAATCCCACTTGCTTGTATTTTGATTCTGTTCTCTTCCTTTGGCTTTTTCTTCTTGAGTATTACATTCTATAACCTCATGTTTTACCTTAGAAGAAATGTACTTTATCTTTGCTCAAAGATTAAAAGTAGTAGTTGTTCGTTCATGCTACATACCACAAGAATTGGAATTCAGCTAATGAGAAGCAGCTGAAAAACAAGCCTTTCAGAGCGCAGCAGATAATTGAATAACAGCAAAAACATCCACTTCTGAATAATTCAAGATGGCCACCATGATCATCAAGGAAAACGTATTTTTACACTAAATTTTCCAACATTTATCAGAGAGGAACACTTTTGGTGTCAAATCATAGTCTATATATTTTCTTGAGAATGTTTCCTTTTTCTGCTGGGGATTTTTCAAAATAGTTGTAATGCAGAGTGTTTGTGCTAAAATCAGCAGTCGTTATTGTCAGTGGTGAGCATAGCTGACCATTAATTGGCTAGGCAAGAATCTTAGCTTTGCTAATTGTAATCCACTAAATATAACATAAATTAGCAGAGGCTGAGGCAAAACCACAAAACATATTCAAAAATTAGCAGAAGCTAATGCGAAACACACAAAAACAATTACGGGAAGCTAACACTAAACCGCCAAACAGGTAAAAAGCAAAATTGCATAAGATAACGCTAACTATAAAAATGTCTAACTGTGTCACTTATCTTAATCTCCTTCCACCTGACGACAGATATAAGACTTGCACACAGCAAAGTGTGCAAATCTACATATTGTTACTTTAAAGTTACATTAATAGAATAACTACAGTCAAAAACATATGATACAACATATAGTTAATGAAAGTCCTGAAAATGGATAAAATGTTATGGCAATCATTGGTCAAAAAAGCCCCAAAATGGGGGGCGTCTTCAAAAGTGGGCGTCATTCTGAAATTTAGCAAAATAATTGAAACCTGCTCAGCTTTCAATACAACAAGCAGCAAACAACAGTGTACTCTGTATGTTTGCAGCTTGATTTTTCTTCCTCTGAAACATTTCTACCGTTTTCTGACTGGAAGTCAGACTGACACACTGGCTGCGTTGTGCGTCCCATTTGTTACAGTTCTGTCTGTGTTGCATTGTCAGTGAGACGGTTCCAAGGCAAACTTTCCACAGCGTAATTCCTTTGCCATGTTTTGTGTGAATGGATTGCCTTTTCAGCCACCTCGATGTGTTATGTTGTAATTAAAGAAGTGTTTGAACATGATCTGATGAAGGAAGTTGTTTGGGTACACAGAATAGCCGGAGAAGAGGCATGGCAATCGTAGCTGAAGAAAGAGTTGCATTCTTGGACAAAGACTGTCCTTCACACTCACCATGCTGCCAAGTTAAAAAAAAAAAAGATAAATCCTAAAGCTTGATTAGAGGTTGCAGAGAGTACAAACACCTTAATGCAGAAATTCCTTCCATAAAGCAGGATGATGAAGCAATGCAGGAATGCTATTGTTTTTTAATGCTCTTAAATCTGTTTGACTCTTAAATCAAGACTAGTTGCTATTTCTGGCTGAGATTGATCCTGTGTCATAGAGCCAGGCTGCAGTCCTCTCTGAAGGTGACACTGTATGGATGAATGTGGTAACAGTAACCTGGCATTTTTAAGCAACCCAAGACAAAAAAACACTCAAAAGTATGATATTTAACAGAAACGTAACAGCCTATCACCCCTCCCACAGCATTTACACAACTACCACTGAAATATTGCAGCACTGACAAGATAGTGCCACTTAATCTCATGCAAAAGGATGCAAAGTGTCTGCCTGATGAAGATTCTCTGCATACATATTAAATCTACTTTCTACTAAAGTCAGTGAATTATTATTTGACCACTTGGCTCATAAAGCATTGAAATTTCATCCCATTGTTGGTAAGTTAATAGTTAAACATGAAAAAAAGAATTTGAAAACCCCCAAAAAGTTAGGTGTGGCATCATGGCAAAGGAATACCTCATCCTGACAAACGTTGTTTTCCACACTCTTGATCTCAATACCCACAAACTGTCCAGCCTGGGAGAAGATTAAAAGGGGAAACACATGCTTCAGAAATGTGACAGGACTTGACTTTCCACAGAATCTCCTTCAAACCCTCATGCTTTGATAGAAATGATACACATTTTTCAATACACTACCATACATAGGACACAGCGTGACAGCGTCTTTAACATTTGTCGACACATTGTGACA